TGTAGGATGGCGAATACTGGTCTTGAGACACCGAAAATTGACGAAAGAACAGGAACGCGATAACACAAACTCAAAACTCGTAAACTGATTTAACTCGGGGAAAGAACACCGAGATAACGAAAACACGCAAAGACGCACTCTTTTAAAACTCTCTTTCAAACACCAAGCGACTCACGCTTGTTCTGGTCACAACCGATTTCCAAGGACTCTGTTTTGCTTGTCAATGACCACGCTTTTTATGCTTTCCTTAACCGACGCTTCACCTCCCCGTAGAGGAGTCGCGCAATTTAATTTCGTTATATGGAATAACTTTTCGATTTGCTTCTAGAAGATATCGGTCGGTTTACAATTTGCTTTTGTTGGCAATAGCCGATTCGCGATTTCCTTTGGTATCCTACATATATTTATTGCGAGCTAAATGAGACTTAGGAGTAAAATACAAACTAAAAGACTAGACTAATAACTGAACTATGATCACGCAACTAATACTCTCACATCGACTCTTCTTCAAACTCCGTAAAGGACTGTCCTAGAACAGCTCTTGCACCCACATTAAACCTTGCACTCTGTCTTCATTAACACTAGAACTACCGATCTTTAATGAGTGCCTAACTACAACGTGCACGGATTATAGTAATTTCAGCGGTACGATGAATACGAGTGAATATATCGATTACAGTTCTTTCTTAATACGAGGTGACACCAATTTTATTCTTAAAGCAGGTGTATGCGTTCGGTGATTGCAAAAAGGAAAATTCTGGGACCAGTCATTTTCACTGGGTCGGTAGCTTTGGTGTTAGATAAAATTCCCGAAACACGGGGTTACCGTGTGTTTCCTGATAGATATTATACCAGTATACATTTAGCAGAAGAACCGATGAAAATGAAATGCTACGTTATTATATAGAATACTCTCAATGGCCACCATTTTGTAACCCTTTGCACTCTGTTGTCGCCACTATGGCGACATTGTAAGCTATCCTGTAACCAGAATTTCACTGGATTTGTAACAAATATTGTTAGCCCTAGAACTACCGATCTTTAATGGGTACCTCCTAACCATAACGTGCACAGATTATAGTAATTTCAGCGGTACGATGAACACGAGTGAATATATCGATTACGGTTCTTTCTTAATACGAGTTGATACCAATTTTATTCTTAAAGCAGGTGTATGTGTTCGATGATTGCAAAATGGAAAATTCTGGGACCAGTCATTTTGACTGGGTTGGTAGTTCTAGCGTTAACCTGCTTCTATAGCCTCGCTCTCGGTAGATCACGTACCCTAAACACTCAGATGCCTTCCGCTCTTCATTTGCATTCGATAGTCATAAATATCCCATTTATTCGGTCACTCGTCTTCCCACGTGCACTCCAGACGTCACTCTAAACATTTGGCCCGAACTCTAGGCTGCTGTTTATTGTCCATCATCAACTATGTAGACCCAAGTGCTCGTTTGCATTCGCTATCAAACCCTAGTATTCCTACATACGTATTCTTAAAATTAGTCTCTTCTTCGTGGCCTAAAAGACGATTTCGCAGTTCCGTAGAACTCGAAACGGTATGAAATACCATACCAGAACAGTTTCGTTATTTATAATTACCATCGACTATTTTCCCCAACCAGTTTTTCTTCCATGTACATACGTAAACACCTGTTCCGCGCGGCTGCATCTCAAACTTTCCGCGTTCCTGCTAATTTCGCGGCGGTTTCCGCGAAAGAATGTTTGCAACAAATTCATCGAAAGGTTGCGCGTTATGTGGGTCAAAATTTCACTTCTAAATTAGCTCCGTGTTAATTTGCAAATTACGTCCATTTAAAATTTCGGCTCTAGTTTGTTTCTGCCACGTGCACGCGAAACTGTGACTCGCGCAAAGGAAAATTCCGCGTCGTAACGAGAGTGCGTATTAAATTGAAGTTAAACCGCGTCCCCGAGTTTTATTATTTTTTGACCTGACCACGTGCAACGCTTGTCGAGCTGTTTCCCAGTCTGGAAAATTTTGTTTCGGCTTATATCAACCGGCGGTTTCCGTAGTCTCGTCAACGCGTCGTCGATAGCCGTGTAACGGGGGTGGTTTCGGGGAAAAATGTGACTCCACGATGAGCAATTAAATCGCTCCACTTTGTTTGATCGGAACAATGCGCACTCGAATCTTGTACATCTCGTAGCTGCGTCAGTCCGAGTAGGAAAAACCGCGCTGAAAACTGTTGCCTCTCGCGATAATTTCCGCCTGCGAGGGTACAGCGTGCTGACATTAGCGGCGCGGATTGTTTGGCCGTGTACCTTTGCAGGGACGAAAAACAATGTACAAAGCGGTGCAAAAAAGAGAACAGGGAACAAGAGTAATTCACGCAAAACTACGTTTAATCTTATCGCGTTCGAAAATGTAATTTCTCTCAGCGGGAACAGAGACGAGTGAATTATGCCAGGGGATGCTTCGCAGGCAAGCGGTCGGAAAGTACAAGAATGGCGAACAGGAAAAGAATCGACTCAACAAGTAGAAAGTGATTGCCCGTTCATTCGCGCGAATTAATATTTCTCTAAGAGTATTCGCGTGCTCGTGGTGGCGAATTTACCCGAATCGAATTTAAATTAGATCTCGTCCATGAATCTTTTGTTCTACTCTGCTCCTCTGAGGAGCACAAGTTAACCCGTAGTAAACGACGGCATAAAGCGCGTTGGAAGATAAATTGGCACTTGTTAGGAAATTAACGGTCTTTGATGATTATTCCAAAGAAGATGGTGGAGTCGAAGGTGGAGGGTATAGCGAAGAGCTCTCATTCGTGGGGTGGAAACTCGCAACAAATCGCGTTAAGCTAACGCAATGAGAGTGTTTCTCCCTTTGTAAATCAGTTTACACGGTTCAAACAAAACACCGATCATTTTGCAGTTTCGACGTTCGCGGTTCTTCCTTTTCCCTCTGACACAGTCTCGTTATATACGGGCCCCGAGCGTCACGTGGCATTTGTGTGCCTTTGCTGAATTCACCGGAGTGCGTCGTCAGAACGTTTTACGTTTTCTTTGCTTGCCGTGTGCGTGTGAATACGAGCACCTCGATGAAAATGGGATTTGGAACGAGGAACGGCCGTAGGCCATTCGTAATTTAACCAATCCCGCGTTGGCCAAGTCCTCGAAAGGTGGTCGTCTTCATCAGGCAGCGGAAAAAATTCGCGTTTCCCCCGAATACTATTTTCCGAGCTGTCGTCCCGCTTTTCTCTTTCTCTTCGCATACTTTTAATTTGCGTTAAACAAATGCTTATCAGCGGAACGTTCTCGCGTTGATCCCCGAATATTCCCCGTTAATTTGTTTGCGTTCCACGAAAATTTGCATGCGTGGTAATGCGATAACAGAGCTGGCTGTCCTCGTCCTTCTTCCAATTCTCGACCGCGGCGCTAACTAGACTGTGTGACGCGGCGAATGGAACCCGTTGTCTCTGGCTAAAATGTTTTCCTTGTAGAATGGAAAATAAGATTTCTATTTCGAGCTTGGATACACTGGCAAATAAAGTAAAGATTTTACTTTCACCGCGGCCGACTTTGATACTCCGCGTAAGAAGGTGCTATATCCCTGGCTCGTTCTCGGTTTCATGCTAATTAGCCGGATACAATGTCGGGTACCGCTACAGAATCTACACGACTATGCTAATAAATGAGATAACAGCGGGCAACACGGAAATTTTTCAATTTTACGAAAAGGGATTAGGTCTCTATGGTATAAGGATTAAAGCGAAACTCTGTTTCGGAAGGTAGGTTATCGTGAAAAGCACCTACCGGTATTATTGGATTAAGCCGCGAAAAAAAAGGGAATAGAAAAAGGTGGAGAAAGTTTGGAAAACCTGTGGCCACGCTTTCAAATTTATCGACAACAATTTTTTTGCCGTGAAGCGCGGCAAAAGCTTTTTGAAATCTCGAAAAGCGAGTTAACGCAGCACAGTCGCAAGTGTGCGTTGAACGAAAGCACTTTTGTATTTATTCAAAGTAGAAACACGCATATCGATCGGGCAGGTTTTCATAGAAACTATCTCCTATCATTTATTCTGCTTCACGTGCTAAAAGATAAGACAGCTTTATGTAGCTATTGTGCGTGTTCCCTGCCAAAAAGGATACCATCGCAGGTTGTCGAAACCGTATCAGGAAACGTACACGTTGCACGTTCGATAATACCATCGACCTATCGAGCTACTTCGATATTAACAATTATTTATTTATCGAACTATCTCCGACTCCTCGTCCGATGATTGGCCCGCTATAAATATAAAGGAATTGGAAAACGCCGAGAGGGTTAATTCGGACACGTATAGATACCACTTTGCGGCGAAACCACATCTATCGAGCCACAATTATCAACGTTGCCCGCAACCAATTGAAAAAATCGAGCGACATTAATTATAATTAAACGAGGTACAAAATGGTGAAAGAAAATAACGTATTTGCACGTCATAGAGGTTTCGCGTGAGTCAGAAAAATTGAGAAATGTTTCGGCTACGGTGATATTTTGATCGAGCCGACTGTACACCCTCGTCTTTCGCCACCTTTTGCCCTTTTCCATTTTTCTTCTTTCCCAATTCCCCTTTTCATATTTTCCCTTCGCCGCTATTCGAGTCAATTTAGCTATCGATTCGTAAGCCAATCGGAGGATACGATTTGTAAAAAAATTTGGAGATTTTCTCCGAGGACAAGCCCAAACGCAAAAAACTTTCCAATGCTCTGATAAAAATGAAATAAACCAGCTATGAAAAGCTCGAGCGTTATTAAACGCCAGACGGGAAGCCTTATTTCACGAGACGTATTCAAGACCGATTACTCGTTTTTTCTTCGTCGACGTAAAGAACGGTCTGACAGAATTCGTATTTACGTTTCACGCTTGGTTCGCTTTGCCCCTGTTCTTGAAAAGGGCACAGATCATGATGTTTGTATTAGGGAAAAATAGGGTCCGATTGAAAGATCAGTGGCTGCTAGAAAGGGGACTCGAGGCGATAAAGGTAGATATCTCGAGGAACCTTTAGTGACTTTGAGGGGAATTCCGTTGTACGTCCAAGTGGAAGAGGAAAGTCAATGATCAGACAGGCGCTTGTCAAATAATAAATCGGCCGCTACTGGCATCACCTCGAATGTCTTTATCTCCGGGGCTTTCAATTTCTTTATTGCACCCTTTTATGATCGCGCTCACTCCGATCGTAACCGTCGATCAGACTTTCATTCTCGATACGAAGTACCCGAGTTTGCTAATGGCGGGGCCTGTTCGCACGGGAGGACCCGTGGTTGAAAGGAGAGGCTCGAAAAATTGCTTCGTGAAAGCGATATCGCGGCTAAAGTACGGTGACAGGGTATAAATAAGGCAGACGAGAGTAAAGCAAAGAAGAATCGCTTTGATTTTCCAACGAGATATATATTTCGTTCCGTGACCTTTTCCAAGAAATCCTTCGTACCATACTTTACGCGATTGGGCCATGGTTTATGGGCATCGTTGCAACGATGCTTCGTTTGAGAAATAGCCACGAAAAACAGAGATCAATTACCGCGGATATATCCAGTGAGACAGCTGCTAAAAAATTCACAGATCACGTGTACCCGTCTACCCCTTGTTCCGTCATCTTCCTCAGCCCCCTTTTCCCCCGAATTTATCGTTAAGAGCACCCTAGGCCCGGTACTTCCATCCGCTGTCGTGTCCTATTCGTACGGTCTATCGATTCCGCCATCGGTCGCGATAGTGACAAATGAAAGAGGTTTCACGGAGTATCGCGCAATCGTACGAGAGGCAGGCATATTTTTCCGCGTTGCAAAATTCCTCGCCGAATTTTAACGATCGACTAGTCGTTCAACTTTTCGAGAGAGAATAATAGCGTACGGCGGACGGAAACGATCCGGCAATTACGTGAGTACGCGATGATTAACCACGTAGACGGTAATTGGCTTGTCATGGTTAGTTAACCGAGGAGAATCAAACGCGTGACGCGCGCGGATATCGATAAAAATTTGCAGACTCGATCGGTAATCTCTGTTGGGCCGATCTAATAATGCACGGGCACCGAGCGTATGAATGCTTTGAGCGAAAACGCGAGCAAGGCAGTTTTTAAACGGCTATCTAGAAACGAGGGAAACGAGTTTGATGAAATGCGCGATTAAACAAACGAAGTTACAGGATTATGAGGACATTAAAGACGCGCGTTTCCGGCCAAATAAAATACGGCTGATAATCTTGCCTCGTTACAACGAGCATCATCTGGACGCGCGAAACGATCGTTTAATATTAATTGCCTGACTAAATAATCGATTTCCGGTTAGAGAATAGCTCGACGGACTCCGGATGAAACGTATCGCCGAGATAATCTTTCGGTAAACGAAGAACGACGTTTGCACGAATGGAGTTTTAAGGCAGAACTCGGCTATGCCTCTTTGCGCGTGTCCCTTGATTCCGCGGAGTGACACGGTATCTAGAGTATACTAATTTATTCGGGACCAACGCGAGAAGTTTAAACGATGACAGGAAACGCGAGTACTAAAAAGTACTGCGCTGTAATGCTCCAAGTTGGAATAACACTCGAGTCTGCGGACGCGAAGTTGTGTCATTCCGTGATATAATCCAGCTGCGAAACAAAGTTGCGCGCTTTTGCTCAGAAACGTTAACCTTAGCGCGAACTTAGTTCATTTAAGATTACGCTGTCAAAACTTACGAGGCGTGTGCACGCTGCGTCATAAATCCGTATCGCAGCTAGGTAAAATGGGCGAAAATTCAATAAACACAGGCGTTAGCTCGAACCGATTGCTCGAGCTGTCGCGTAACCTAAAAACCCTTCTGCTATCCACAGGCCACGGTGTTAGGCAACCGTCGGCTCTAAATTGATATATCACCGGCCTGCGACGAAGTTGAAACGAACCGGGAACATTATTTTTGCTTCACGCGTGGGACAGCTTTCGTGGATCGACTCGATGCGCGAAGAAATATTTTGTCAAAGTTCTCGCTGGCGAGTAGCGTAACAGACTGCAGAATCTATATCCATTTAACGCCACTTTGCCGCCCCGTTCGTCGTTAGCCCGATAATGGTAGTTTATCGGGGATACAATGGCGCAGGGTTGCTGAAACTTTCTAACAACCCCACGCTTTACGGCGTCCGCGATTGTCCTCTGTCAACAGCCACCAACGGGATAGAGTTCTCCATAAGTAGTTGGGCCCGATTATGACGCGACTTGGAATTCTCCCGAGTACTCGCGGAACTTGCTCAGAATCGTTTAAGACCGGTAAACGTAAGCGTTTGGTACGTGCTATTCGGATTATGCAAAGCGTCCCGTATATCGCAGTCAACGTGGCAAAAGTCCTGAATACGTAACGCTAATTTCTGCACGGCTATGCCTCGCTGCTGACGCTCGAAGGATCCTCGTAGGTGTATCAGACTTTTCATCCTTCCACGCCGATATTGTTGTCGCCTCTTCCTTTCAGCGAGCAATGCTATCTATTTTGTGTCAACGCTTCGCCAGCAGGAAACAGATAGCGGTTGCTGTCCTTTAAATAAGCCCTCCGTCGTGCAAGATTACTCGAGCTTACGCATTCATTTAGCCGACTTACGACTTTGTCTTGGAATCCTCGTTTCTGCGAAATCATTCGACGGAAATAAGTCACGTCCCATTTTTCTCCCTGAATTTTCCTCTATACATCCCTGTCCCGTGTTTTCTTGCCGTGACATTTTGCTCCCTCCTCGCGATGATGCTCGTATAGGTCGTTTGTTTCGTATGGCAGCGTAATATCCAGTCGTCGGATAACTAATGCGTTTCAACCATCTGACCAATATCCTTTAAATTTCCCGTAAAGCACCGTGATCTCTGTCAAGAAGTCTGTCGAGAGAGTTTCCAACAGAGGGATATAAGAATCCGTTGCAATCTTTCCGCTCATAGGTCTCGATCAACGTATGGATTTCACGTAGAGGGAAACAAAAGCTCGCGACGAGTGAGTCCGAACGTGAAAATACGCGAGGAAGCTGAAAGCCGTGAGACGCGGAATTATTACTGGCGTAATTGAGCTTCCCCTGCCAAGCGTACAGATCTCCGCGGAACCCTTGAAATGCGTCGATCGTATGTGAAGGAGAGATTCTACAAATCCCTTACGGCCGTGAATTCCATAAAAATCCGGTCACGTACGCGTTGATTGCGATAAGAAAATTAAAGGGAAGCGTTGGAAATTCCAGCCGCATCGATCCTCGATCAATACGCTCGATTTCGGGGTAAAAATGTGAACCATTTAATTCACTCGTATTAAACGCGTCGTTCCACGGTCGGCCTCTCATTGCGAAACTTTCACGGCGTTCTTGCGTTTATATGTATATCGGTCCAAGGTAGAGGCACGCGAGCTTGTGACCTGCGCCGCGATGTTTGAACTCCTTTGTGAATTCCTTCGGGAAAGTTGGATCTCGAAACGTGGCGGCGTGGAATCTGTAATTTTAATCTCCGCGCGCCTGCCTCCTTTGTAACATTCTTTCTAACGGCGTTTAGAAGAAGCGCGCGCGATTTTCGTAGCACCCGCGTCGCGCGTAACGCGTGCGTTTGAACGCGAGTGACTCGAAATGACGAGTTTGAACGTAATCGAGTCGAGCGTTTCGAAACGTGTTCTTCTCGTGTAAACACAGATGCCGACGAAGGTTATGGATATACATGACAAATGGAGTTCGTCGTGCGAGCAATCGCGTCCTTGCAGCGAATCAGCGTCGAACGGAGAATTTCTCGTAGAGAATCGTTAACGAAATTTCGATCTGCTTGGAAAAAGATACGCCTCGAGACGAAATGGAATGAAAGCGCAACGAGATAGGAAGAATACTCGATTCTCGAGCTCGGAATCGAAGCTCGACGCGAAAAGTCTGTATTTTCTTGCGTCTCGGTACCTCGCGGAATTGCACGGTATACAAGACGGTCTCTTCGACTATATGCGAGCTTTCTAGTCCGCCCTAGTCACCCTCTCGCGTTGAATAATTGCTCGTTAAGGCTCACTGGTTCGCCATCTCTCACCTCGCCTTCCTTACGAACGTACACCTATACACGTACATCGATCCGGCCAAAGTGTCCGCGATCCTTTTCCTCTTTTTCTTGCCTTTCGTTACACGCTGCCTTATAATTGCTTACTTTCTATGCGAGGCACGTCTTTCTTTCACCACCGATTTCACAGACACAATTTCGCCGTGTCACGCCGTCGACGCCTTCCATAAATCGCCAGTCCGTGTTTATATAACGATACGAGATTTTCCCGAAGCGGAATAAACCCGTCGATTTATCGCGCTACAGCATTTCTGTGCGCCAAGTATTACACGCGGTGTTTCTGTTCCAGTGCGACCCGGGGGTGGCGATCGACAGGTTCTTCCACGCTCTCTACTCGTCGAAGAAGAACGACCTGATACCGTTGCTGCTGGGCACCGCCTGCTCCGAGGTCACGGAAACCTTAGCCAAAATCGTGCCCTACTGGAACGTGATACAAGTCTCCTTCGGTTCCACCGCGCCTGCCCTCTCGGATTCTACCGAATTTCCGCTTTTCTTACGTACAGTCGCGCCGGATTCGAGTCACAACTCGGCCAGGATAGCTCTCATCAAGCATTTCGGCTGGGACACCGTCACGGCGCTCTCTCAGACCGGCGACATGTACTCTTTGGTAAGCTCAGGATTCGAAGTAAGGGACAAGTTTAATCAAAGACACGCTCTGTTCAACGCCGTTCTCGTGTACCCGTTTGCTTTAATAGATCGCCATGACGCCAGCCGAAATTCCCACGAGACGAATCGCGTATGAGCCAGCTGTTAAACTTTAATCCGTTCGACGTAGTTGGAATAAGTAATCCGTGGTTAAATATATAACGAGCGGGATCGGTTACATCGTGGAACAGTGGCTACGAGCTACCTCGCGTAACTTTGACATCTTCCTGCTCGACCGCGAGCACGTTGTAGCGTTGCTTTTTCGTTTCAGGCTGTGAACGATCTAGTCACGGAACTGGAGCAGGCGAATATCACGTGCACCGCCACCATCACGTTCGCGGAGAACGATTACAAGGAACAGCTGCAAACTTTAAAAGTAAGACACGCTTAAACTTCATTGAATTTTTTCCACCGAGGGGGCTTGCCACGGAGATTTGCGGCCACGCGCTGCATAGTTGCGTTTTTAGCCCTGCCATTTCGTCTCCTTCGCGCTGGAAATCTTTACCTGGCCAGTCTGCTGCTTCGTTTGAAACGCGGGACACGTATATACCGGAGCAGATTTCGCTCGTGAAATTTCAACGCGAACCACTCGACGGCGGTAGAACTTACCTCCGGGCCCTCCGATCGCTTTAAAATTAACGTCACAATGCATGACAAAGTTCTCCGAAAAAGTATTTATCGTGCATTAGAGCTCATCAAGGCGCGCCGAGCAAGGAGAATTCGATTAAGCGCGGTACTCCGTGCGTCTTTAATCACAGTTCATAAGTAATTGCTTGTCCGCTCTAATACGATAAAGTCGTATGAAAGACGGGACGACGCTCGAGACGAGCTCGAGAGAGGACGGTCCGCCTCGTTGAAACGACGTTTTATTCGTTTGCAGGACTTGGACACGAGGATCATCATCGGCAGCTTTTCGCCGCGGCTGGCGCCACGCGTTTTCTGCGAGGTGAGCCATCAACGGAAGTTGCATAAGCACGGAAGTACGTTTCGGCTTGCGGGAAAGGGAATCCCGGGGAAATATGCATCCCGCGGTTACACGATTTCCTAGCGTGGAAAAAATAATGCCGGCTGAAGTCGAGTCACTTTCGCGATAAAAAAATTTTAAATGCACGCGAAAACGCCAAACGTGGGACGGTTTTATCGTCGTGTTGCTTCCGTAAAGCAACACGCAATGGCAAAGTTCACTGTATCCATTATACGTGATAGCTTTATGTAAATTTGACCTGGAATCCATTTAAAACTTTAATCTTTTAATGGATATTACAAAACAAAGGATAAAAAGGGAAGAGAAAAAAGGGAGAGAAGGTCTGCAACTGACCTGGACCCGCGTATCTCGCGATCTCAAAGTTTGACAGTCGAATCGGTTAAACGATCACATTCGCGGACGCTGTCGTTTAATCATCGTCGTTAACGTAAATAATAATCCACGGAAGGAGTTTCCTTCCTTTCCTTCCTTTCTATGCCTGTCTCTCCGTCGATGTAGTCCACTGAAGATCCGGTTCGCGAGATGCGGGAAAATAAAACGCTCCGCGTTGCTGAGCCGACGTTTGATCGCCCATCCACGACAGTTCAATTACGAATTTTTACAGACGCTCGTAAAATCGCCATTTCCGCGAGAATTACAGCCGGCGTTCAGCATCGAGACATTAAAGTGCGCGGAAAGGATCATTTTCGTGCCTCGGTTCCACCCTAATCGATAAATTGAAATTTGTCCATCGCGGAGGACTTTGCGCCCGGATTTTCAGACGAAAATCGATGAAATGCAAACACATGGTCGCAGCTTGTGTCCCCGCTAAGCGAATAATGAACATTGTGTCGAAGTAGGACGCAATTTCTCTCTCTCTCTCTCTGTCGTTCTCCACCCTCTCGCTCCCTTCTCGTCACGCGTATACGAACACACATTCTTCGTCGCTATTATCATCTGGATGGCTTTGTATTTCAAGACCGGTCGGTTCGGTACAGCTACTCGGCAGCTTATTTATGGAACAACTTTTTAAGTGTCTAATCGGTTTGCGCACAGCGACGACCATGTAAATTCGATCGAGCGATAACGACGGATAATCGAGGTAATCAATGTCGGCGATGTTCCGCGCGGAACGTGCGAATCGGCGCGATAGAGACGGTGGAAGAAAGGCGGCTGGAGGCGATAGGAAATCGCGTTTTCGTGACGAATTAGCTACACCGACGTCACTCGTTAATCATTCGAAAGCTAGTGATATTCGTGGTCCGCGAGTGAGTTGATTGCCAGTGGAGGACTAGCGGAGAAACGGAAAGGATGCAGGGCTGGATCATTCCTTCGATGCCTCTGGCGTTGGAATGGCAGAACGTCAGTCTCTCGCGCTTCTAATTTTCGCGTGTATCGCTTGGACGGTATACAAGCCGTCCCTTGCATGCAGCGATTTCTGCAATCACACGCCGGCACACCGAGACGAAATTGCGTTGGCGACGTGTAGGACACGGCGATCGCCGGATTACTACCTGTCGCTGGCATTCTAACGACTTCGAGAGTTCAACCTTCGCTCGGTGCTCTTTAATTCGCTTGCGTTTCGCGAAATCCCGCATCGCGTGTATATCCAGCTCGAAAACGAGTCGCTGTCGCGCCTTGCTTTTTCTCAGATATTATACGAAATGCACGGAAATACTGGATAAATATGTAAATTTTTCGCTCTCGCTACATTTCCATTCGTTCCTCTCCCTCTTTGTCTTCTATACCGCCGAGATACGTCGTTAGGGATTTATTAAGAGGAGAAAAAGGTATAAATTCAGCAAGCAGCCGGGCAGCCGTACTTCGTTTCATGAAAACGATTTTTCATCGGTACGCGCCTCTGACATCTTGGCCGGCTGTATTATCGCCGGTCAGAAAATAACTATTGCCGGCAGGCAATAACGCGTACATAGACGTTCGCGGCTACTAGATCGACGATATCCATATCTTTCCCATTCAAACGATTGCGTTGCTCGTTACTTTCCCGATGCTTAATATTCGCGGGTCAGGATCGGCCGTTTATTACGTCGATATTCAGAGGCAAGGCTTTTTCCCTTTCTTCGCGCGTATATACAACGAAACAAGGAACGCGGAAACGTTTGTGCTATAAATCAACCGAAAATACAGATAACGCCTACACGGAAGCTCGTAGCCTCGAACGGTATCGTTTATAAATAGCGGACGCATCCTTTGTTCCGTGACATGTCTGAACAAAATTTATCGCTAAACCGTTCGGTTGTCCTCTAATTGCGGAGAAATTTATTTAAAAACAGTTACGACGAGCGAGATTCGAGATCTTCCCCTTTTACGGTCCCAAATGTAAATGGGTCCCCGGCGCCAATTTCGCTGCGTCCACTCCTAAGCGCGCTCCGTTCCTCCGTATCCCTCTATTACCGGTTTACTACGCTAACTGTACCTACGCGTGCGGGCACCCGATTTACGTGCAAACGCGCCTGTTCGACGCAACGGAAACGGTACTTGGTCCGCCCTTTTTCGCTACCCGCGAATACCATCGTGTCGTACTCCAGCCGCCTTTTTGCCATTTTCAACGCGTCTCTTAGCGCGACGCCGCGAATTCACGTGACAGGCTGGATCTTCCAGCGACTAGGGCGCGCCATTCAAACGCGACCCAGTTTTTCAACTTGGCGTCTGTGCGGGGCGACAAAAGACAATGAGCCGTAACTACGGACCGACGACGATTTCCCGATAACCGGCCAGCGATCCCTTTTTCCGGTCTTAAAAGCTTTAGAAGAGTCGGGCCGTGCTGGAAAGATAGCGACGCCGCAAATTCTGCGATCCAACGTAATCGTCGATTCCACGCGATGGCTCCGCTCCGCTAGCTGGATAAGGATACTCGGAAGCGCAGGGGAAATTAATTAGGGAACACTGCGTTAAAAGTTTTTACTGGTACAGCGTGTAAAAACCGGCCAGCTTCCGAGAGATGATACGACGGTGTCGGTGATAGCAAGGCGATAAAATACCATAACGACGATCCGTTTCTTGTCATCTTGACTGACAAATGACGTTGCTAAGACACGTTCTATTAGTAGCCGAAATATATATATACATATATATGTGGCCGAAAATGTTGCGGGTTAGAGAAAATAAATCGGTATACGAGGATAAACGGAGGAAAAGTGGGATGGTAGCAAGAGGGAAAGCGGAGAAAACAGACGATGCGCGAAATGGGATATATTTTATACAGACATCTAGAAGGGTCTTAGAGCAACCCCCTTCACGGAGTCATTTCTCATTACTCCGATCGTCCAGTCTCCCGATGAGATCGTCGTAAATATTTCTGGTATGCCGACGCGTTGCTTCGACCTTCCAGATGCGAACCGCATTCCCAGGAATTTTTTACAGTAGCAACGTCTGCGACCCCGTTAACTCTTTCTCTTTCTCCTCGACAAGCGTACTTCGCGATCGATCCTCGAAGTCGGATGTATCGCGACGCGTCGCGAGGACGTGGCCCACACGACGTTAATTTCACGGTGCACGCGAGTCTAGCAGAGAATTTTCAACTGCAAAACGTTGCTCCCTAACGAACTCGCTCTCTCTCTCTCTCTCTCTCTCTCCCTCTCTCTCTCTTTTTCTCTCTCGCCCTCGCCAGTTCCCCCCCGGTCTCGCTCCTTTCCAGAAATAAAAGACTTATCCGAGTAACCCATATATTCGGGGAAACATAAAAGCGCGAAACTGCCGGTAAGAGCTAGTTCTAGAGGTACTAGCCTTATCTACCTCTCTGAGCTGGCTAGACTCGCGAAGACAGACGGACATCCTCGCTAAATACCTACTTCGTGACTCCGTTGCTCGCTACTTCCACGGATTCCTTTTGTTCTCTGTCTGTTATTAGGCATGGAAGCTGGGCATGCACGGCGGGGATTACGCATGGATTCTGCCAGGTGACACGATCGACTTGACGGGAATGAAGGGTAATCGGTGGCAGTCTGGACCAGAGGAATGTACGCTCTCGCAGCTATCCCAAACTCTGAACGGGTTGATTATCGTCGAGAGTCACGGCTCTGCCTTAGGCAACGAAATTAGTTCGTCGGGTCTGGTGAGTACTTTTCCAGTCGCCGGCTCGTTTGCGATAAAAAGTTCCGTCCTAAATTAGCGAACGGAACTTTCCGCCGGAAAATTCTTCGGGACGAAGTGACCTTTTCTCGATAGGGATCCTTGGTCGAGATATTTTCTCACCTATGGCTCTTACTCGACCCCGAGCTCGGACCCGAGTTTCTTCCCGCGATCGGGTCTCGTTGGGCACTAACGCCGGGATACTTAATCCCTTGACTACGGCAGATTTTGATACGCAGTGACCGTACCATACGGCAGGATTTCAGTTACGATGTGCGCCATTTTTGCGAAAACAAGCGCCCTCCGTGTCACAAACGCAAAATTTCTAAGCTGCCCTCCGTGTCAAACGCAAAATTTCTAAGCTCTTGTGGACGCCCTCCGTATCACAAGCGCAAAATTTCTAAGCTCTTGTGGGCGCCCTCCGTGTCACAAGCGCAAAATTTCTAAGCTCTTGTGGGCGCCTTCCGTGTCACAAGCGCAAAATTTCTAAGCTCTTGTGGGCGCCCTCCGTGTCACAAACGCAAAATTTCTAAGCCCCCATAGGCGCTCTCCGTGTCACAAACGCAAAATTTCCAAGCGCGCTTAGACGCCCTTCGTGTCACAAACGCAAAATTTCTAAGCTGTCCTCCGTGTCACAAACGCAAAATTTCTAAGCTGCCCTCCGTGTCACAAACGCAAAATTTCCAAGCGCCCTTAGACGCCCTCCGTGTCACAAACGCAAAATTTGTAAGCTCTTGTGGGCGCCCTTCGTGTCACAAGCGCAAAATTTCTAAGCTGTCCTCCGTGTCACAAACGCAAAATTTCTAAGCTGCCCTCCGTGTCACAAGCGCAAAATTTCCAAGCGCCCTTAGACGCCCTCCGTGTCACAAACGCAAAACTTCTAAGCTCTTGTGGGCGCCCTCCGTGTCACAAGCGCAAAATTTCTAAGCGCTTATGGGCGCCCTCCGTGTCACAAACGCAAAATTCCTAAGCGCCCATAGGCGCCTACAGTAGTTAATGGGTTAATAATTACGCGCAACGTGGCTGGCGAGAATTAAAGGCGTTAACGAAGAAACGCGCAGTCTTGCCGCGTACATGGTCATTATCGCTGCATACGTAGTCACGCAGACCTGTTTTCGCGTCCATTAGAGAGGGGTGTCGGTGAAACGGCACAGCAGAAGGAACGTGATAATGGCCAGCAGCTTCCTCGTATCGAACTTTCCACGTTCGAGCAATCGAGCTAATGACGAACTCACATGCCGCTAATTACGTTTCACGAGGGAGGAGCCGGGATCCGATGAAACTCGAGCGGAACGTGTCCCGAAATTGGTTACGCTTCTTCCACGTGGCGAACTTTTCTATCCGATCGCTGAAACCGATCCAATCCTCGGTCGTTCGCGGTCGTTACGGCACCGTTTACTTTCTACTTTTTCAAACCCCGTCATGAATAATTCCGCGCGCACTCGACTATTCCGAATATTTACGCGCGCGCGTACGTGGAAAAATAGAAATTCGCGGTCCCGCCTGCTCCCGCGATATCGGAATCAAAAAGGAAGACGGGTCGGGACGTACGTACGTCGATTGTCCGATTTGCATATCCTGAGACGCGAAATGTCGCAGGATAGAAGCTGTGCGTTCCAGCCCGCGAGAGACAACCATCGTCGCCACGACCTGAATTTCGACTCGGGAAAACCGATATGTCTCTCCGTTCAACACTGAAATTCCCGTAATTGGTTCCCCTGGCCCATTCATCTCCAGGCTGGACACGCGCGTTAACGGATTTCCACGAAAATATGATAAACGCGTAAACGAAGCTTCCACGAAAATAATCACCGTTCGCTAACGAAGAACAAAGTCATCGGTGCATCTGTCTTGTAATTTCTCGTCCAGATGGCACGTTGCATCGAAAGAGAAACGCTCTGGAACACGTAGGAACAAGCTCTATCCAGTTATCCGATTTTTCCCTCGTACCGAACTGCACCGATTAATTCGTTAATAACTAGAATATCCGTGAAAGCCGCGTTCTTCTTTTCCCCGGCAGCGGGTAAAAGGAAATTGATTTTTCGCTGGAATAATGGGGATACTCAAAGGGTCCTCGTTATTCGAGAAAAGGGTGCTATTCACTGTCTCGGTATTAAGGTCCGAAAGTGTTAGCTCTCGCGGCACTTTTCCCTCCACGATGCATAGCGACATTACGAACGCGAACGAGATTTATCTTCCTCCCTGGAAACAAGCGAACGAAAAAGAAATCTTCAGCGCTGCCGTGGAACACCGAGATTACAACTTTCCTTTTTATTTAATCTTCGTCTCGGAAGCTTTATCAAACTAGGATCGCTGCGAGAAAACCTCGCCCATATTTTCAAAGGATTACCTCGAGCTTCGTCGTAACTGCTATTACACTCGATAAAAAGATAAGAACGATCCCTTGTTCACGGAGACAACGTAGAGCGCGAACTTGGATCGTTGTTCGATCATCCCTGACACCGGGGAACCGTATTCTTTCCCCTAGACGAGCAGCAAGTTCACGTCGGAATTGGCAAGAAGAGGCGTGACGCACTCGAAATACGCGGGACAGACCTATGACGCCGTCTGGGCCATGGCGCTAGCTTTGGAGAAGACGGAGGATCTCCTGAACCAGGACAACGCGAGCATAACGCAGTATACGCACGCGAGGAAGGACATCGCGATGCGATTGTTGGATCAGCTGAAACTTTTGCGTTTCGTCGGAGTCTCGGTAAGAACTCGCAAACTATTCTCGCTAACGACTTTTCATCGGGATTGAAACGAATCGGTCGATTCGCTGGTTTCAGGGACCGGTGTCGTTCGATGGCGCCGACCGAGTGGGCATCACGGCGTTCTACCAGATGCACGGTGAGTAAACTTTATCGCTGATAGGCGAGTAAAGATGCACGCGTGATGCGGCGAATCGGGCAACCGGGCTGGAAAACGCCGACAATTGTGCGTTCCTAACGGTGCAGCACACCGTGCGCGTTGAGTTTAACTGACACGTTTAAACTAGAGGATGCGCTCGTTTACGGTATTCCCATTGTTCAACGTCCAGTCGACGATATGATTTCAGTCGGCACGATAGCGGTACGTTTCGTCGCGATGCGTTGCTCCGTTACACGCCCTGCGTACGGCTGTCCGAGCTGTTAGGCACGCCGATCTCTCGTTCCCCGTTGCGTCCATTTATGTCGCTATCTTATTAGAACGACCCGTCAATTTCGTCCACGAAATATACCCACGCGGACGCCAACCAACGCTCGCGCGCGTGATTCGAAAGCACGGAAACGGAGGGTTGTATACCCGATTTAAAGAGATCCTTCGTAGCCGTGCTTCTACCCGTGCCAAGGTACACGCTGCGCGAGCTGCGAAATAAATTGCAAACGAAATGGCAAGTCCGCGACACAAAGTGCCATGCAAATATGCCATGCGCTCATTGACTCGTAGCTTCGCTTCGACGCTCCAGTTTAGTGTTTTTTTCATAACGCGAGTAACAGCGGCTGCACGAGCGCAGCGCCAGAGTGGAAAAGGCGAAAATGAACGAGTAACTCCTCTTTACGAGTGGAGACGCGCGATTCGCGACACAGGTTGCTTTGTCACGCGGATATTTTACGCCCGGTCCTGATCCAGCACGGCTGGACCACGCGATAATTCGACATTCGAGACGGAAACCGGACTCGACTCAGCGTCGATCGACCGCACACCTACGTCGAGCTGTTTAAACACGGGACAATTAAACCGGCTCTGCACTTAGCTCGTCGCGAGAGCGAAACCGGTAGGTGTTTAGGATACTGCGAGAGCGTAATTAACGCTGCGCGCGGAAACATTGTTCGATGAATAACGTTGTTCCGCGAAACGGGAGAATATCGGGGGTTCGATCGGACTGTGTGGACGCTGACGGGACTAACGCGGAAAACGTCGATGTCGAATCTTGCGGGAATAATTATGCTCGGCGTTAGGAGGATCGCAGAAGGAAGGTGGCGCATGGAAGAATTTGAAAGCTCTAGCGTGGGAACGAAAGTTGAAAGAGCCATAAGGACCGTCGGCGTGGCGCGCGTGTGGCTTTCCGTGTGTTCGCCGGTGCAAAGACTACTGCTGCTCGGATCCGCGATCTAAAGCACGAAACGAGATCGGCGTGAGCTTCGTGCGAACACGAGCAAAGATGTTTGCCATTCTACCCGCCGGATGTCGGTAAGAAGCCGATGAATAATTAATGAGAGAGGACCCTCAGGAATCGGCAGCGAAAGGGAGCGTGCCTGAGAAAGCAGAAAAACCGGAGATAGAAAACAAGAGGAGCCGGAATGTATTACTACGAGTTCGTATTAATCGTCATTCCGACCAAGAGGTAACCTCGCGTCCGGGCAACACCGAACACGACCAATGAATATATCGTGTTAGACTTTTTCCGGCCAACTTTATCTCGACAAATGTCACTCGTGTAAATTGTCGCGAGTTAGTCTGTCTCGACACGTTTTAAGAATCGCGAGCAGAATTCTCGGCGACCACGCAAGCGCGTCCTTTCAGTGGCCCCGAAACGCCATCCTCGCGAACAGGCGTTTGCAGGTCCTCGCGAGATCGAGCTTTCTCCCGAGTCGTGTAACCTCGATCCGCCATTCGTGTCCCATTTTTCCCAAAATTTTCCTTCCCTCTTTCCACTTTTATTCGCTTGGTCGAATAAACGATCCGTAATCGAAGTAAATCGAACTTCCCCATACCTTTCGCTCGTTTTCGCAACGTCCTTTCCTCTCGCCGTGATCGGAGATCGATCCCCCGTTGACGAAGTAAGTGTCCACATCGTTCTAAGCGCCATGAAACTCGGCCCGAGATTCATTATACCCTTCTCCGCTCTTTCCACGCTTCTTCCTCTGTCCTTCATTATGTACCCCTTGTTCCACGAATATCTCGTTGGACGATGGTCGAGCAATCTCTTAAAAGCCTCGATAGAAAATGATCCTCCATCGCTTCTCTACATCTTTACACTGCTCGTCCGATATCCAGCAATGGAATACCCGAGACATGTCCGAAACGCGCAATTTCTCCGTCGTTTTTGGCGAGTACATTAAGCAACTTCCAAAGCGGTTGCTCGTTATCTGTTTTAGTACTCGGTGCTTTCTAACCTGTTACGATCTTCCCGCTGGGAACGTTCACCTCTCTGTGTACGTAGCCGTACAGCGGGGAAACGAGCCGGATGACAAGGGGTCGAAGGATTTCTGTCTTTCGCTGTGACGATTCTATAAGATACGAAAGTCGGGGTGAAGGAGAGTGCACACCCGAGGGAATCGAGCGAATCGACCGGTTTTCCAACCACTTTCGCGCAATTCCTATAGCCGAACGATATACACGGCTTGTCGTTTAGCTCGTTAACCTTGCCCGAGCTTCGAAGAAGCAGCTCCTTTTTCTGAACCGCGTTTCGGGTATCGATTTCTGATAAAGTCAACGAACTGGCACGAATTTCCGCCAGCGATAGGCAACCGTGTTCACAAAGAAGCTCCGATGGTTCGGACAAATTGGATACCATCAACTGTTTCCTCCTTTACCCTCGCCTTCTGTTCCCGCTATTCTGTACATTCTTTTTTTCTATTCCGGTTTCCCTCCAACACACCCTTTCATCCATCTAGCCAGTCGACAGTCGAGATCCTACGGCTGTAATCCATCAAATCCTGTAGCGGATATAGTCACATTGGCGCGAGCCGCGGATTTAACTTTCAAGCATAATCCCGGCCACAGGGAAGAGAAGAAAAAGAACCGTCCTGTTCTTTCCTTCCTCCTTTTACGCATCGTCACAGTCCACCTCTGATCTTCCTATCCGTGTATAACGATCGAGATTAGGTTCGTCGCTCTTGTTTACTCCCTTGGCAAGGCAGAGAAAATCGCAGTCGCAAGAACGTCGCGAGACATGTCTCGTGCCTGCTTCCAGTCGCGAGATATGACTCTGAAATTGCACCGTCGATTCCATCATTTCCCGACTCCGCGGCTAATGAAAAGCGAGTGAAATGGAAAAAGACTGCGGGTGCAGTTGCCTTATCTGGTCGTTTCGGGAGATGTCGTAAACGCTGTAGTCGTAGTCGTTGTTTCGGTTACACGGACACGCGTTACGAAGGTAAAACAAACGGTTATGTCCTACGAGCCGAAATGATCTTCTCTGTTCCGTTGTTTCCCCCGTTCCGTATCAGCAGTTGGCGCCGAGTAGCTTAGAACGGTCGAATGGCAACGGGGGGCTAACTCGTATAGTCGCGAAAAATGAAAAAAGCACGCAACTGGAAAGCGTAAATCGCGAACGTGCAATTCCACGGTCGGAGAAATGGCTGGGAATAGTCGCTCGGCATTTACGAAGACGAGCACGGCGATAAGTAACTGCGGATGCAAATATGACGTTGCGTAAGGCGGAGCGAAGATCGTATTATGCGGACTATGAGTATTTATAAAGTCGTAAGTACTGTCGATGCACGAGAACGCGGCATGCTCGATTTATTTCAAAGTGCTCGACCGTTCGATGATTAAAAGGGAAGGCGGAGGGAAAAGCAGAGAGGGGTTGTTGATCGAATAAGACTTTCGAACGAGGTCTTCGAGAAAGAGGTATTAAAGACGTACCGGTGACTATAAAATTGAGACTTCCGAGATACGGAAGCTTTCAGGAACGGAATGCTATGACGAGGGTAAGAAATTTTCCGCGTTGGAAAGCGAATACGCTCGAGCAGAACTGATTTCCTCGGTGCTGCCGCAAATTTGCCCTAACTCAGCGCCACGAACGACGTAAACTTTGTTCTCTCGCCGATTTTACGAGCTCGCTGTATCGCGAAGGCTAGCGCGATATCGCACGATGAATTGGCAAAAAGCTGCGAAAACGGATTCGCAAAGTTAAAGAACGGTTGCGAGCTGGATCGTAGTTTAAGCTCGAGGTAATTCGATTGGCGAAAGAAATTGCGATGGGTGTTGGAGTGGAAAAGGCATGAAGTTCGCTTGAAGCTTACAGGATAGACACGCTGGCAGGATACGCGTTGGCAGTTTTCGCGAATGCAATCCTTAAAAAGCGATCGGTCGACCTCCTTTATCTTCGGTCCTCGGAAATAACCGCGCGCCGGTACGCGGAGGATGAAAATGGAACAAAATGAGTATTATTATTCGGCTGCTGTCATTAAGCTGATGAGAAAAATTCCGATACCGCCTCGTCTGTGAATCGTAGCAAGACGATAGCTTGATAGAACTTTTCTCAACGAAGCGACCAACCGTGGTATCTTTCGTTTGCAATTTTGGACAGGGCTTACGTAACACGCCTAGAAATTCGTTTGCCAATGTTAAATCGAATCCATTTGAACGCGTTGTTCCGTAAACTGTCGGGAAAAAAGTGATCTAGATCCTAATCCTAGGCGAGCCTGTCGTTTAGACGCGGTTATATCAAGGTAAATAGGAATTCTATACCCTCGATTCGTTCCCTCTTCGCAAGCTCGGTGTACATATGTATATTCGACTTTATCGGCTGCGTCGTGCAAACGGTGAAGCTAGACTGGAAAAAGGTATTTTATAGGAGAACGGATTTCCATCGGATGCGAGAGGAATAAGGGTGGAAATTAAACTTTCGACTTTATCAGTCCTTCTTCTCGATAATTCCACGCTCCTTGCACGTCACGAAACTTATTATTGTTGTATCGTAAGCTCCGGGATTCATTCCGTCGAATCAGTGACACGAAACGAGTTTCTCGGAAGGAACGTGGAATTGAAATAATTACAACGCGCTTCTGCCAAGATTAAAGCCTTGAATAATTCAATTTGTCCGGGCGAAAAACACGGACGGAGCGAAGAAATTAAGAAAGCGGGAGCAATTAAAATCTCGTCCCGATCGTTGCCATTTGCACGAAATGGCAGCTTCTCGACCGATTATTTCATTCGCCGGGTAGTCGTTCGTTTGTACCAAAGCAGGAGAGTCCTCACGGTTTCCCACTTGCAGGCCACGTTATGTCAAGGATAGCCATCTTCAGCCCGGAAGATGGAAAGTTGATAATGAATTGCCCGGAATGCGCAATGACGAGATGGCCGGACGGGCATCCTCCTGCGGCCCGCAGGGTTTTCCGGTACGTAACGTTTCGTCCAATTTTATCAACCATACGTCCTCTCTGAACATCGAAATCTAATTATCACGGCAGATCCGAACAATTGCGCATATCGACTAGCATTTTGCTCTTCCGCCACGCGAAATCGGTTATCGACGTATCGTTAATTGAGAATTATACACACGCGAACGTAGCGTACGATAATCAAACCGTACCTTACGTGTTTAATTATACAACTAATAATAAATAAATGGCCTGACGCTAATGGATACACTTGGAAACGCTGCAGGGGAATGAAAGCGTCGATATCGGATGCGCCATTTCTAACCGTATAATCGTTCATGGTCCACGTTATCGACTCTGTATGCTAATAACAGAATTATTCGCGTGGCAAACGTTGACGCGACAGATTCGGCAGACCTAGAAAGTAACGAGGATTTAGCAACGTTGACAGCGATTTCACAGCGATTCAATTACGCTGCCAATTCGCATAAAATAGCGATAAAAGTTCCTCTTGTCAAATTCTTATGGGATCCTTACCACGCGACGTATAAATCCCGAGATTCGATACGAAGGATGAAACGGAATTCCGAATCACGGCTCAACACTATCCCGGGGTTAGCGAAATTTGATTATCGTTTTCCCACGAAAATGTTTCGTAACCCGCGTATTCTCGAAAGTACCTTGCAAATGCAGGCGCGAGAGAGACGATGAGTTAGAGGATTATAAAACGGATTACAATCCGCTGCACGGATTGTAAAGCCGAAAGAACGAGCATCCGTGACTTTCCTTGCCATTCGCGAGATTCGCTACAACCTCCATTACGAGTTTATTACTATTCGAGAACGCTCTACGAATACCAAATGGGTTATTTTTCTTACGGCCAGGTTAAGAGTGGTAACCGTAGCACCTGCGGCTTTTCTTGCGGTTACTTGCCTCGCCAGCGTCGGTGTCACTTTGGCGCTCGTTTTCCTGGCCTTCAATTTACATTTTCGAAAACACAAGTAAGTCTCGCGTGGCTGGATAGTATCCTATCGATCATGGCAGAATTCTAGAGCAATGTTCCGTTCCGTATGACCGGCAGGAGCATAAAGCTTTCGAGTCCTAGATTGAACAATATGGCCGCTGTCGGCTGCGGTTTGGTCTACGGTGCCGTGATACTTTTGGGCTTGGATCACGCCACTCTTCCGGACAGCAATGATTATTATCCCACAGTCTGCACCGTGAGCATGCGTTTCTTTTCTATTTACCAGTAGTTAGTCTTACCGTCAGCTCATCCCCTCGAGGAGGAATTCACAGTTGCGTCGCGTTGCTTTTCAGGCGAGGGTGTACTTGTTATCTGCCGGCTTTTCCTTAGCTTTCGGATCAATGTTTACCAAGACCTACCGCGTTCACCGGATTTTCACCAGGAGCAAGAGCGGCGTTGTCAAGAACAAGGTACGATATACTCTGGGAAATCCAGTTGACGCGTAACGTCACTGACGAACGATTCGCTAGCGCGAATCCTGTCCAGCGCAGACGGAAAGCGCCTGTACAGTCGTGCTACTTGCAGCTACTTCAAGATACCCAGCTTATAAGCTTAATCTGCGTGCTTCTACTGATAGACGGCCTCGTGGTGACTCTGTGGGTGACTTTCGACCCCATGCAACGCCATCTGCGAAACCTAACTCTGGAGATTAGCCCGCAGGACAGAGGCGTAGTCTACCAACCTCAGGTATCGAAAACGAAACGGCGTCGAAAAGAATTTCATCCTCACCCTTAAGCAACCTTGGTAGAGAGCATCATTAAGATATCGATAGCGTTCGCTTTAACCAGCGATAACCAATTAATTTACATCGTTGCTTTTTGGGCGCAGGTAGAGGTGTGCCGATCGCAACACACGAACAGCTGGCTGGGCGCACTTTACGTGTACAAAGGTCTATTGCTGATCGTCGGTGTATACATGGCTTGGGAGACGAGGTAAAAATATTGGGTCACCCTGTAAATTTCAAATGTGGCACAGTTTTATAATACGATTTTACGATGTGAGTAAAAGTTCGTTAAAACAAACGCTCCGGGGAATCTGTCCACGTGGAGCTCGCAATTGGAGAGGCGCAGTCGAAACGGAATTGGAGTTTAATGAGGGATGCCATTAGGGCGTTCATTAGCAAAGATGTTTCCTCTTTTTGCCGGAGTATTGTCGTTGAACTATTGATATTAAACGTTGCAAGACCGATTCAAGGACGTAATAACGGAAAGTATCGATTCGGCCGTTGTAAAATTAAGGCAATTTCATCGGTAGCTTAAGTCCTTCGAAAATAATCTCGCTAATAACCCTACATTTACGTTATCCGTCTCTTTTCTTCTTCTTTATTCCTTCGTATTATTCCAGACACGTGAAAATACCAGCCTTGAACGACTCGCAGTACATCGGCATGAGCGTTTATTTCGTGGTGATTACCTCTGGGATCGTGGTAGTTTTGGCCAATTTGATGTCCGATCGTGCAACCCTGGCCTTCGTTACAATTACCGCTCTAATCTTGGCTTCCACGACCGCGACGCTGGCGTTGCTCTTCCTTCCCCAATTGACGAACATCCTAGCTGGCGAAAGGGCCGATCCAGTCGTGCAAAGTCTCGGCCTGAAGATCGAGTGCAATACGAGAAGATTCGTGACCGACGATAGAACGTAAGTAGCCTCCATAGCTCTGTCGCGATACGATGGTAACTGGCTGTCGGATAAGGGAAAAGGGATCGAAGGCGAGTGGAAAATCGGAAAATGGAAAGATGGAAAAATCGGAGCGAAGAAAAAGGGTAAGCACAATGGCGTCGGTGGTCAATGGCAACGATAAAGGTCTCTCGTTTGGTAACTAATCGTTCGAACGGATCTAACTCGAGACGATATCCCTTTATCGAATCCCGGTAGCTGAACTCTTCGCGTTATTCCTAACGGTATAAAGAAATGGTTCGTTTCAAACCAGGTCACAGATATCGTTCGTCATATTTTATTCACCTACCGACTTTCACTGAATTTTCGTTCCAACGATCCCCACACAGGGGGGAGGGGAAGTTTATTGAATTTCCCATTGAGAATTTATTCGATATCGAATTCGAGAAGAGAAAAGAGATCGCATTACGATGAACGTTTAAAGTTCCCGATGAAAACCCGTTAGATATTGTTCCGTTATCGGAAGTACGGTGGTAGAAGAGTGACTCGCGTCGCGCTGACGAGCCCGCGACGCCGGTATGCGGCTACTTTTCCACGAATTTAACCAAAATGATATTTCATGGCGCAACAGCGAGCTTCAATACCGCGTGGAAGTGCAGAATCGTGTGTATCGTCGTGAAATGGCACAGCTGGAACTGGAATTGGCCAGATTGGAGAAACAATTGGCACAGGAACCGGTTGAACCATCGCACGCTTCGTCAAGCGCATCGATTCCGCAGCGCAATCCCAGCATCGGGGGTGGTCTACCTTTGTTATTGCTCAGCGTCCTCCCACCAGTCATCCCTAGGGCTAGCTGGCCATCCGCCGATTCGTCCGGTGAGTGAGATTCTTCGTCACATGCTTCAAGATTCATCGTGCAAATAAATCCGTGTGACGAATTCGAGGTCGAAGGTCCTTTCGACATTCGTTACCCTCGACCGAGCCGTATCTCTTCCATTTCGAGTTTGCACGATGAATAAACAATTCTCAGCTAGGGGAGAAAGAAGGATCGATATACATAATTAATGTTCTTCTCGCATCGTCGTCCTTCCGTCGTTCAGGTGTTCGAGAAAGGTGACAGAATTCCGTTTATTGCACGCAATTGTTTGAACGATTTTACATGCTTGTGTCGATATTTGAGGAACTTGCCGAGACGATAGAGGGAATTAGAATGAGAAAATCATTTCGATCAGTTAGTTTGTGCCGCAATCCAAATCGATGACTCCCGTTGAACAGGCTTACACTGTCTGCGAACGAAAATATTGCATGGAAACTGTGATTGCGAAGCGATATTCCCCCGCGTTTGTTAATAATAAAGAAAATGTAATTGTTCGCCGCAAGTACGAGTTTCTCACACTGTCAGTCCGAAGCCACGAACTATCGCTATTAATAGTGATAATTCGAACTCGCGAAGATCTCGTAGTCGACTGCTATTTACGATTGCAAGTGATACAGTTAATACGAAACCAGTCTGATTGCCAGCCTGTCATTGGTCTGTATCACCAGCTTGCGAGAGCTTGAGAACATAGTTCATACATCCCTGACATATTAATTGCCATTCGAGACACTACACACACTGCACTCGTATTTCCCCGAGCTCCGAGTCCCAAACCCCTTGACAAGTTCGGACAAGTCCCTGACAAGGGTATGTACATGCATACGCCCTGCTCTGCACGTTAAATTGCACGTTTCACACCGTGTTTCGGAATGCAATGACACCGTGCTGAATAAAATCGATGGACAATCTCGACGGTGAGCCGGTCAAATGTGCAAATATTTCAAGCGGCACGTACATTTGTTCTTGCAAGAAATTCGTAAACACCGAGCTTGTCGATCGAACACCGTCGACACTCGTACGGATGTACCGAAAGGCAGCCTGATCTATTAGTCGCGTGTAAATACGAGGATTTCATTTAGACATTCGAGAATGACGAACGGTTCTCCTCCTTCCTCTTCTACGATGTCTTAGCACCTGCTTTCGCTTCTGCTCCACCGTTTCGATTCGTTTCATCGAGCGGAATCTCGGGAAATATTAGCTGCGACAGGTAGACTGGACGTATCGACTTGACTCTTCTTTAAATTAGGAATACGCCGCGGTACTGTAGCGTTTAGCAGTCAGCCGGACTTGGAACCGGATGGGACCAGGAGAAGTCTCGCGGATATTTACAAACTTCACCAGCGAAGAGAGACGGAAGGACCAAACCGTTTGGGCGTTTTCCAGCGACTCTTCAGCCTTTTCGGTAGTCGTCCTACCAGCAGGAAGACTTCGACTGCCTCGTTTACGGGTAAATATGTATACCGCAGATAAATCTGGCAAATAATAACGGGACACGCAAATCGCGTGATACAGAAATCCCGAAGGTATCGAAAGCAACTAACCGTATCGAAATCCCATAGGTGTAGCATCGGCACTACGGGTTCACATGGGCTACATCGCCGGTCTGGTACCAGACACGAAAGCTGCATCTACCTGTCAGGTTAATGCCCAAGGCACTCGTTCGCCTCATCCTCGATGTGGTTCAGGACCAATAATTAGTATTACTAGCGAAGAAGATCGCAGATTAAGCTTGGGGCTACGTCGTAAAGAGTACAGTGAACCAAGAGTCAATTTCAGCCTACCGCCCAGTAAGTACACTCCCAAACTCTTCATTTTTGCCAGCCGTTTCGCGATAAAACGTATCGCTTCATTTCCGATACGTCGACTCTGGCGAGTCTAGCAAATTGTAAAGAAACTTCTCGCCATGTGCGAATTAAGCGAAATGGTTCTTTTGCAGAAGCGAGCACCAGCCAAAGTTCATCGCGGGAAAAAATTCGAGGATCGCCGAGGTTTCCTCATCGGATAGTGCCGACAAACAGTTTAAACACGATCGCGCCAGGATCCTCGATCTCGCGATCCCATCGATGGCATTCCATGGAAGACGCGAGAAAAACGAAAGTCACCCAACTCCCTCGTGGCTCGTCGTGCAGCCCTAGCTACGACGTATGGGCCACTCGTGAATTTGGAATTCCATTAAGCGAATTGGGAAACAGTGCTCGAGGCAAGAAAGCCCCGGAATCATTAGCCTTGACTATTATGGCGGAGTCGAACGTGAATGCCGATGACGCGAAACTCGGCAACAATTTGAGAAAACTGTTCGAAGAAGACGATATGCACGGTAACGTTAGTCCTGTCGAGTCGGAGCTGAAAATCACTCGGTCCACCTCCTCTTCGTCCTCGTCACCAACCAACACTAGGACATCGAGTGCTATCCACGACGCGTTGTTCTCTAGAAACGAGTCCAGTTCTGAATCTGCCCACCTAGACACGAGTACAAACTTTATTCAGAAATCAGAGTGTTCTCGACCCTCGAGCCCCGCAGTTCACCCGTCGAATCCGGACACCCCCGAAGAGATAAATAATTATACGAACGCGTCGTACGAAAATGGAAAATCAACTGCCGCGTAGAGTATAACGATAACGTATGGGGAAAAATAACTTCCTATTGCAATATTTTTCCCTCCTGTGCTAGTTCACTCCTGACACGTACAAGTATATCCTTCATCGAGATAAATAAATCTAATCTCGATAATTTATATTTGGTAAAATGTGAAAGAACGAGGGGAAATCTTCAGATAACCCGATACCTGAGAATATTACCTGCTTTTACATCCCCCTTACTTGTTTTCTCTCCCCCTTTTTGTTCTTCTTTCTTCTTTTTGCGTTTGTTTCGTTAACAATGTAATCCTACGATAAATACAATCACCCGTGTACGTGACAATCTTGAATAATCGTGTCCAGGAAAAATCAAGCTCAAGTTGATTGTACGAAAATTTAGTACGAGGGTCAAGAACCTACCACTGTTTGAATTTATAATGCGTGTTCCTTAGTAATCGTGCCAAAAAAAAAAAAAAAAAACAAAACTATGGGGCCCGTAAAAGTATACAGCTGATCGATTTTATGGATTATCACATTATGGAGGGACCAAAGTATAATAATAGTCTTTTCTTCGTTATTCAAAATTATTTCCAATCGATGCTCGAATTATGCAAGTTCGTAACAATTACTTAATGTGTTTAATCGTAAGTACGAGGGTTCTAATTGTATTTTCATTGCTTCGATATCGTTTCAGGTAATTAAAACGACGCGAATTGAATAAAATCGTGGAGGGCATGCTGAGAGTACTCTTACAGGTCCAATGTTAAAGTGTTCAGTACCCCAAACCCTTCCAGTACCTGCACTCGGTGTAATAAAAAAATATCTCTTTTCGAAATGCAGAGCCATGAAAATAAAAATGTTGGCTTCTTCTGTAAATCTTCAAGTGTGATGTATTGATATTTTAACACTAATACGCATAAAGAGTATATATATAAATATATATAGGTAATTGGGAAACAATTGAAAAGGTTTCCCAGATTTCGTACCTCGAGCATCTCGATGTGTCAATCATTGAATTACTAACTTATTACTAAGCAATAATCTTTGTCGGTGCAATTAAAAATGGTGTAATAAAAAAATATATATATATTCTACTTATTTATTGTAAATGATATTATTTCCATTCTATCAAAGATACGTAGAGATCTCTTGAAAGTAAATCAGAATATTTTATTTTGATCTATCTTTAGATATAACGATGTATATGAATTAGTAGAGTACAAAAAGTTATATTTTGCTTAAAACAGAGTAATTATTTACATTATGTTGCAATTGCAGTTACGGAATTTCATACGTACAAAGGATGCAATACATACAATCATTTGTAATGGTGTATGAAATTTTCGATAACCTTTAGGCTGCAAGATTCGTGTAAGATTAAGAAAACAAATTTTAACGGTGTACATAAAATAACTCACTTATTTGAATACACATCAACAAAGCAATTCTAACAAAATAAATTATACATTTGTCTACAATTATTTGTATATATTTACAACGATATTGCATTTCATGTTGTCTAAGAAAATTAACACACTCTCGAGCACTTATACGTTCGATCACGACCCCCACCCCGGCACAAAAAATTAAAAAAAAAAAAAAAAAAAAAAAAAAAAAAAAAAAAAAGAAAGAAAGAAAGAAATCTTGAAACATGCTTATTTCGAGTGAAAGAATCAAGAACATAAATTAGAAAAATTTACGACGAAACGCAATGTGTTAATAAATACATTGAGCTGAGCAGAAATTAAAATTCGCTTTAATATCCGAGATAAAGGATTCGTATCTTTTTGAGGCTATAAAATAACTAACGATTTTTGCTAGTTTTTGCTATAAAAAGAGGAAACGTTTTTCTCACCGCTTAAACGAAACATAAAAATCACAGATTCGCGATCATATTTAAAACTAGAGATTGCTAAGTATGTACTACTGTCCCTTCGACTCGATCTCTGAAAGTCGTGCCTCCATTAGCTATATAGTCGCCTGAAACGACGAAAAAGTCAGCATTAATATATGACGAGATATTTAAATAAATTCCGTGTGTACTTACAGTGATTTTTTCCAATATAGTTTCTGCTGGTTTATCCTTTCGAACGAGCTCCTTTGAATTTGTTTTAGTTGGCGTGCATTTTCCTTCCTCCGGTTCATTTTTCTTCTCTGGACTCTTTAAAGCATTTTGCGCCTCTATCCTTTTGCGGTTTAAGAACGCCATCCCGTGAACTCGAAGATGTTTATCCACAGCTGCCTTATCCTCGAAGACAGCCATGCAAACGTGACACTGATTCGCCTCGATCGATTTTCCCCCAGTTTCGAGATCATCAACATTGTCAGGTGCATAGGATGTATTCTGAGACATGTAGATGATAGGATCCTCTATCCCGTGAAATGCTTTCAGATGCATTTGCAAACTAGGTGCAACAACAAAATTGTCACCGCATTCTAGGCATACTAAATATCGACCTTTAATTCTGTGATTAGAGGCAATGTGCTCTCTCAAATTTGCCATATTGGAGCATCGTTGATCACACTTTTTACATCTGAAATTACCCTCGCTATCTTCAGCTGTTTCTTGTTTCACGCATAATCCAAGACCTGTAAAAGTCGCGTGTTTCCCATCGGTATATTTCTTTGGATTCCATCGCCGTCTTCTTTTCGAATTCGATATAGTATTGTCGGACTTGCGTTTCTTATTACCTAATAATTCTTTGTAACCGCCGTTAATAAATTCTGGCGATAGTCGAAGCAGATCTGTGGTAATTGTCGACAGTTTACAGTTTTGCGAGTGCTTGCTTTGAAAATGATTATTTATGACCGATTTAGACGTATTTATTAATTCTCCGCACAAATGGCACGAAAAATTAAGGATCTCGTTGGAATCAGTTGGATAATTCAAAGCGACTCGTTGCAGTAAATCGCGATTCATTTTTTGATCACGCGAAAACATTGTCATTTTGCCTCCTTTCATCATTTGTCCAACTTTCTTGGGTCGATTCGACTCGAATACGTGTTGAGGAATTCTGGCGAGTGGTGGAGGCTTCGAAATTGATCCATGCTGTATCCCTCCGAACTGCTTCTGAACGTGCATATTGTTCGAAACATCGTTTGCCTGCTCTGTTTCGTTTAACTGGATCTTTTCCTTTTCACATGATACTTCGTTCTTTAAAACATCATTCGTATTTTTCTCTTTTTTTACTTTGACGAAAAGATCTTCTTTAAGCGACTCGGCATTTAATGGATCTAAATTTGATTTCATCGCTTTATCACTCCATATATAATCAGTGATATCCTTGGGTTCTATTTTTATCGCAGCAACATTTTCCATCAGTGCAACTGCTTTCGAACTTTCCATCTGTTTAATCTTTCGGTTTTTCTCCTTTTGTTTCAAAGTTAGTTCGGGTTTGTTGGATTTGGAAGTGCTTGATGTTAAATCAGCCATTGATCTAACATCGAGTATCTTCGGTATGATTTTACTCGACTTAAAAGAAGATTCTGAATTGACAACCTTAGAACACTGGGGAGTATCGTAATTTATAAGATGATCATCCGTTCCCTGGGCTCCTCGTTCAAATACTTCGGATGTAATGGTTCTAGCATTTATAATTTTAGGCATAACAGTTCCGTCATCGCAAGACTCCGCACGTGCATTTGTAAATTTGTTTTGCTGTAAATTACTTTTCAATAAATTTGCAGCGGTTTCCACTTGCAAAACGTTCCACAATACCTCAGAACTAATGAGTTCTTTCAAACGTGTTACATGTCCGCTTTGTAGATGAGACATTATTCGTTTCGCTTCTACGTGAATAAACGCACAAAATGGGCATTTAAACCATATTAGTCTTTGAACGACCAAATGTTTCTCCATGTGTAACATGTAATCTTCGCATCGCACGATACATCGACCAAGTTTACACAATACAAGCCTTATGGGATGATGATTATCATCTGCATTCGAGTGTTTATCTTTGTGATGCTTTCTATACTCTGAATATGACGGTAAAACGATGTAACATTTATCACAAGCTATTCTGTTATGGCTGTGCATAATGGCGAAGTGTTTAGCGACAGATTCCATGTCTTGAAAACCATCTATCTCGCAAATTTTACAGCCAAGAACACGCTTTTTTAACGTATGGAAACAAGTAGTCCATGTATGAACTTCTAACGATTTGAATGTGGTAAATTTACGATAACAATCGGGACATAAATATGGTTTTTCTTTATCATGAAATGTTTGATGAGCTACGAAACGCGTCGAATTACCTTGATACGTATAACATTTGTGACACACGTGTCTATAGCAAGAACAATAAATATCATTTTTCGCTGTCTTTGAAAATCCTGGAATATAATACTTGGGTTTCATAATTTTGTCGCATGCCTTACAAACAGGCATTTTATCCACGTGCTGATATTCAGATTCCCATTCATTTAATGGTATATCCGTCTCCTCTGTCTCATCACTTTTTTCAATGCACTTATCAATACAATGTTTCAATACAGTCTGCAAGATATGAACAGCTTTCAAGTTTTCTTTAATTACGTTATCAGTTACGAAATTCATCACTTTTGATATTTCTTCACCGATTAATTGCAGATGATCGAATCGTTTTTTCAATTCAAAATAGGAAAGATGGAAAAATTCATTTAACATTTCTTCTCTACATTTCGTTATCATCGTAGATGTATCAACAATAGTATATATTGGTTTCTGGTTAAGAAATTTTACATCAAGGTATAAGTTTTGGTCTTCACCTTTATGGAATGATAAATTTTCAAACGAATTGTTTATATTTTGTACATCAATGCCAACATCTCTCTGTTCAGCATTTAAGTAAGATATATCACTCTTCTGAGAACTCTTTATTGACAAAGAAGACTGTTTCGATTGAACATCGCAGCTAGAACTACTTGATAATTCCGATGGAGATGGTGAAGGTGTTAAAGGGGAAATATCATTATGAAACGAATTTATTTTTTCCTGATTCGATATATTTTCTATTTCATTGGAATTTAAAGGTATCAATGGTGGAATACCATTCGTAGATTTTGATTGCATTATCCCTTGTACATTTTTTATTGGTATCGCTGCATTGGGCATACTTTTAGAATTTTTACCGAAACCTGGTGATTGTTTAATAATGTATTTCCGCCCATTTTGATAAACAATTTTACTTGGAAAAGCGCGCGCTTTACTTTTGCTGGTCTCGCTTTGATTTTTCGAGATACTTCTGTTATAGTCTTTACCACTTTGTGAAAGTTTCTCATTTTCTAAATTCTTTTTCGTTTCCAACAATTTTTCATCATCATCAGGTACTAAGTGAACTACTGTTTTAGTAGAGGATTCTTTATTATTATGGACATCTGCATTATCAGAAGTTTGTCCTATAAAAACAATCTTTTTATTTTTAATGATGTGTGGTGGTAGCTGATTAATAATTGTATTAATATCAACATGTTTTGTGCTTTGAAATGTGACAACTTTTTGACCAGAATTAACTGTTAATGTATGTACATTTTGTTTAAATTTATCTAATTTATTTTTGCACGTATCCATTTTTGTTGCACAAAATGCATCAGATTGTACCTTAGATAATGGCTCCACTATTAATAAATTATTAATAAGTGTTTTATTTACCTTTTTATCAGAATCTACTTTTACGATATTGCTTTCTGTAACTACCTTAATTGATGTTGTATTGTTATTAGATTTATGCATTAAATTCTTCCATAATTGTTTATTTGTAGAACACTTTGATAAATCTTTGATATCTCGTTTAGGTGTTATCATAGTATCACCATATGACATAACCATATTGGGTGAGATGCAGTTTAAACGCGTTATTTTATTTCGTTTAAATTTCATGTTTGGAGACTGAAGAGAAGTGAATGAATCTTGCACTGATTGTATAGAAAGCATCGAGTTCTTTTTTTTATTACTATTTAATGGAATTTCAGGTTCAAAATACTTTGGTGTAGGTCCACAATCCACAAAAGCAATATCATTTACTGTACAAGGAGTATCTTCATTTTCAATCATACTTTCATCCGAGATGGAAACTATGGTATCTGCTGAAGATGGACTTGATCTTTTATCAACATTTTCTAGTGAATCAAGAATTTCAATATCAGAGTAAGTGTTGCCATTGTTAGGCATGGAGTGAGTAGAATTCAAAATAGAAAACTGTTCATCTATTGGTACTTCTAATGGCTTAAAATGAAATCGACCTTTATAACCCTTAAGAATAAGAGTAACTGGATTATTGCTATCTTCTGCCAATTGCCACCAATTGTTACTAATGTTTTTATCTTTTAACCAATCCATTATATGAACTTTTATTATAAATGTATGCTCCATGATTGCTTCACATGTTAGATCTACTTCAGAACTCCAATTACTCATATATGCTGGTAAGGGCATTAACATTAAATCACCCATATATACCAAATTTACATTATGAGCTTTCAAATGTGCAAAAAATTGACATTGATTGTAAAAGACTCTTATTGCCCCAAATTTTTGACTTTTACGTAAACCTCTACTTCGTAGATATAAACGTTTCTCACGATCCAATTGCATGCACATTGAACATAATGTACCTTCTACAGAACTATGTTTACAAGTTGTCACAAAACAATGCTGACACCAATAGCCCAATATCCAACTTTTCCTTCCAATATGGTCTTCCAAACTGCTTCGAAAATGAAAGCTAATAAAAATAAAATATTTTGATATTGAATATATTTTTATCTTCAATTAGTATATTTTATGTTAATTTCAATATAATGTTTTATATGATACAATGATTAAACAACAATTGTAAAAAGAAATACTTAAAATATATCAATGAACTTACCAGTCTTTGCACTGTGTACACATATATAGAGTCTCACGTTCTGGAACATACTCCTTTAAAGAGGGGGGTGGTACTGTTGGTACATAAGGTTGTGTCTGTGTTATAAAAACAGCATTTTTCACTGCTGTATAATATTTAACACCCCACCTAGTTTCAATTCTTCTATTCTTTCGTAGCTTTGGCATGAGACTTTACTTATTACGTGTCACAGTATTCAGAGTATCTTAGATACAGGATCCATAAGCATCAAATTGATACTTCAAAATTTATAAATAGAGATAAGATTTTGATATTAACTATTGTTATTATGTAATTATTTGTAACAGTGTGTAAAAAGACAGTAAAATGCTATTATTTTTACTAATAGATTAATAACATGTCTCCTCTATCAATTATCATATACTTTTTTATGACATACAATGAATTTAATATAGCACTATAAACTTGAAGAGCACCATACAAAATTTATTCACAATTGTATCACTAAGTCTCACTAATAATTACATCTGCCACATATCTTTCCTGTATGATACAATGTATTAACACAACTCAAGACATTGTTCATCAGAAAACCACCATATTCAGCCATGATATGTTTTGCTGTTTGCAGTTCGTCGGTAAAACAGAGCACACAGAGCTGCCGTTGTGGCCAATAATTGAAGTAATATTACAAAGAAATGCACAATTACTACATATTATAGTTAATAAATATTAAATTTTTAAATATTATTTAATATTTCTATTTCTATAATATTTTATATAGTGTTATTTTATATAATTACAGTCATTGAAAGAAATTATGCTATTTCTATTATTACTGAATACAAACATACTATTAAACCATATTGGAAGATTGCATCCAAATATACTTTCAAGTATACCTTTCCTAATGTAGATCCTGGAAATATATGTATGTATATATAAATATATATAAAGATTATTAGATATATATTTAAAGATTAAATATTACTTTATAATACACAAAAGCAATATTTAACAATACTATGTTCTACTAAAACTAACTTTTTGACAAGATATATATATATATATACACATTAAACACAGAATGCTTAAGTGCTTAACAATACTCATAATTCAACATTAAAATGATTGTAATAACAGATAATATACAATGAATTAGTATTATTTTTAGTATTATGCATATGTTATATTTCAAACATAATATTAAATTATATTCTTCAGAAATATACGTCATGTTTATTGAAATTCGATAAAGCAATTATTTAATGCAAGCTTAATACATTTTAACTTAATATTAATAATTTTGAAATGACAATCTCTTTTTATTATTTCAAACAATTTGAATAACTTTATTTTTAATACTGACTGTACGATATTAATGACATGAATTGACCAATTAGTCATTCTTTCTGTTAATAAAATTATTTTGATACATTATATCTTCCAGTTATGAAAAACAATTTTGCATGAAATATACTAATTCAAAATTATCATCTGTTACATACACATCAATTACTAAATCTTCAAAATAAAATTAAACAAGTAACATGCATTAAACTTACAAGATATTTTGTACATATACATGTACATACATAATTCATCAGTAATTGATTACATATTACGTTATTGACGATTGTAAATCAAACAGGTCTGTTAAAATTGTTTATAACGTAATTATAACCCAAAACTCTTTTTAACGTATAATTTATTATCTGGATCTTCTAACCATCGATGATTTTCTAGAAAGAGTACTATATGTAAGTTTTGGAATGTAACATCGGACTAAAATAAAATAAAGAAGTGTGCTATTTAACTTGTTAAGAAATGACTAAAAAATAATAAATTTGTATAATTTAAATTAAAAAATGTGATAAATGAATAATAAAATTTTTCGTTCGTAATTATATTTGTAAGTAATTGATACTTTATAACTTTACTAAATTATATTGTCAGATAACATAGTTAAATCTAAAGTCAAAAATAAATTAATAAATAGTATAGAAAAGTACATGAAGTATTTAAATAAATTAAAATGATATAATTGGTATAATTTAGTGTAGTGGTTAGCCTGGATTCTACCAACCTACATTTATATTGTACCCTACACAAGTTATATTACATATTACTTTACGCCATTGAGTGCCATTATAAGACAAGATAAGTTACGGAAAAGAGAAAATGTTTCATAAATTCAATGCATTTACTGGTTCTATACAAAAAGCTACTCAATTACAAGCTCTTTATCCATTGGTAAGTAATTGGTATTAAAAATTAAACAAAATAAGATCGAAAGTCAAATTTCCCAGTGAAATTCATATGTTTTATTATATACGTTTTACAATCTTTACTATTTTGTTTCACTAAAGTATAACTTAGCTACTTTACGATGTGATTATGAAATAAATGTAGATAATTTTAACATACAATTATTTATTAAGTTTTATTCTCCGTTATGTTCTTAGGATGTTAAGTATCGCACAATATAGAACATTTTTATATAACATGTAATATCAGCACAGACAAAATTAAAAGATCATATCAAAAAGATACATACATATACTTAAATATTTTTGATGTATATCTCGTGCAATATTAGTTATATTATACTGTTTGCAAAGTAATATAGGTAATATAAATAAAATTTAATATTTATATTGTAGTCTCCACGGCCATTAGAAAAAATGCAGCTACCAAAGATACTTGATTCTATCAAAACTCAAGTAGCACGCACAGAAAAACTTCAAAAATCAAATTACTCAACAGCAGATCCAAGAATAGTACGACTGCAAAAAGAATTTCAAGTAAATATATATCTATTATTAATAATATTATGTTAACAAAAGAAATACTATAAAATATACATGTTGTTGCAGGTTGACTTGGAAAGGCCAGTATACATTTATCGTGGAACGAAGGATAAGATTATATTTGGTATTATGTGTGTATGGACTACTTTAGGTTGTCTAACGAGCATATATGCCATGTACAAACTCAAACAAAAATTTTAATGTATATAAGAATATAGTATGTTATAGTGTTAATATATTTAGGAAGCTTCATAAATTATTTAGAAGACATTATTATAAATAAATGATTAAATATCAATTAATTATTTTCTCCCAACTGTTTTTGTGAAATACCTACTAGATTTATTATTTTGTTCCATCCTGTGATGAATATTACAAACATAATGAATATTTTGTTTCTATGAAACAAAATAATATAACTATGATTAAATAAGGATTTATTTTAATTACTTACATACATTAATAAAAATGTATAAAATTAATGCTTTATAGGCTTGTAATCAATGAAATTTTACTATTATTATATGTTTAATTAAAAGGACTTTTAATAAGATAATATTTAAATAAATTTTTGAAAAATGAAGTTTCAGAAATCGATATCACCTTTAAATATGACATTGCAAAATATGCAAACGTAATTTTTAGTTGATAGAGAATAGAATTTTCCTTATGAGAAAGCCTAATTCCTCTCATTAAATCAACAAATTTTTTAAATATAATTAAATACAAATTTACACAGTTGACTCTTAATTGATCGGCTCCTGTGGGATAAAACCCTTAGGCGAATAAACAATTACTTGGTTAATTTGAAAGCATGAACTATTTGTTATTTATAATGAATAGAAAAACAAATTAGTAAAAGAAAAAGTATTTAAATAATAATCCATATGTACAATGAACAGTACAGTTAATCTAAAAAATTGGGATCGGATAATCACAAGTCGACGGTATTATGTATGTATACTACAAAGTAGTACTCGTTTACTACTACAAAGTATTCTATCCTATACCTTGTTTACAATTTCATATTAAAATTTAATTTTAACTTCAATTATGAACGTTACAATTTTACACTATGCTGAATACTTAATATTGGGAATGCTATCAAAACTGCAACAAAAAATCCATTGATTCATAGATCTATTCTGTATTTCGTCTATGTTTACACAGATGCAAGATTATAGACGAGTCGTTTGTGTTATGATTACGTTGAGATATCCTTAATTTCTTAAAATAATTACACTTGCTTATGTTAAGATACAAGAAAAATATAAAAACTTTAATTTTTATTCATAAATATTTCATTTTACATAATACGATATAGTTTTTCAATACTTTTGCGAAAGGATATATTTTTATATCTCTGAATATTTCTGGTTGAGAGAGTTAAATAAATCCTGTAACTTTTTATATAATTTCTGTCGTAAACATAACAAGAAATGATTTTTTTTTTTATATCTATTTAGTATGATTTGATAAATCAGATGAATACAATTCTAAGTTTGTTAATATGTAGAAGGCACTATAAATCTTCTAATATATTTTATTCGGCATTCCAATTTGTCCAACGTCAACGTATTGTTCTATAAGATGTTGAGTCTATGTACAATCTTATCCGTGGTTATATTAAACATTAATTTGACAGATATACGAAGAATTTTAAAGAAAATTATTACTATTGAAAAAGAAAGTATAAATATTTTTAAGCTTATATTCATTTGCAATGGATAAAAATATTACGCCGACTATAGTATTTCATCCAATTATTTCTTCAATACAAAAAATTGCTCTTTATGAGACAAAGTCTGTAAGTTTATTTTATAAATAATAAATTATTTAAATATTCTTGAAACTATAATATAATTTATATTCCAGAGATTTTATTTAATGGGGTCAAATAATACTTTGACACGTTTTCGAGTTTTAAAAATAGACCGTATGGAACCGAAAGAATTAGTTGTCGTAGATGATAAAAGGGAATATACTCAAGATGAAATAAAAGATCTTGTTAATATGATAGACATAGGCAATCGTACTCGTGCTGGACAACGAAATAATATTGGTGGTGTTGCTAGAATTGTCTCAGCTTTTGGAATTGTTGGTAAGCAATATTGATTTGTTTGTTTCTTAATGTATAAATTATCAATGCACGTACACACTTGCACAACATGAAAAATTTTTATATTTTTTAATAATTATGGATTACTCATGATCATGTACAAGATGCAAAGAATAATAATATAATATTAGTGTTTTATTTCTTATTCATATATAGTTACTATAATGGTATAGATATAGCTTATGCTTTTTAATTTTGCATGGTTTATATTTTGGCTGCATGTTTATTGCATTATAATATTAGATCCAAAATAATAGATATATACAATAATATTGGAATAAGAATATTGCTGAAACATTATACAAAACTTAGTTTCCATATATTTGCTTGCTAACAAAGGCAACATTCATAAAGAATCTACATCTGACAATGGTGTATCAGAAGAATCTGAACACCAAGACTATCAAAAACCATTGCACAAACCAACTCAAACTAAATTCACCTGGAAAACAATGTGGCAGAGAGATACTTTTCCCCGACATGTACCAGCTTTTGGTCTCCTTGGTAAGGACCATTGAGTTTAATAATCAAAGACAAACATTATATGTTTGAAACAAAACAACTTATATTAAATAACTTAATAATGAAATATGTATATTAAGTTATGCAATTAAATCTGAATATTAAGTCAATATACAAAGTGAATAAAAATATAGATTTTATGTAACAATTGTCATATTCTGTGTCATCTTTATTATAATGTATTAAATAAAAAATATAATATTTAAAATTAAATTTTTATATAATATAACATAATATCGAATATTATACCCATATAAATACATTATGTGTAACATATTAAAACCTATGTATGTCTTTAGCATGATATAATATGAAATTATATTTGCATGCCATTTTATTTGTGATTAGAAAATTAAGCATGTTATATGCACAATACCTTAGTTGTTATGATAAATACAATTAAGAATTTATTTATATTGACAAAGTAACTAATGGTTTAAAACTATTTTGTTAGGTTTCGTATGTTTTTTGGAAGGATACTATATAATTCTGGTTACCAAACGACGAAGGGTAGCTGTAATTGGTCACCATACAATATATAAGATAGAAGATACTTCAATGATCTATATACCAAATGACACTATTCGTGTCTTTCATCCAGATGAACAAAGATACGTAAAGATGTTTCAAAGCATAGATCTGAGTAGTAACTTCTATTTTAGTTATTCTTATGACTTAACACATACTTTACAAAATAATATGACTCCACCAAAACACATTAAACTTGATATTTTCAATACAAATGACAAAGATTCAAGTCAAACGCAGAATGATGATACTGAGGATGCAGAAGCCTTTTTTAATATGTGGACATTTAAAAAAAATTATCAAAACAATAGGTCTGTTATAATAAACAACTAATAAATTATTGAACGACAAATACTCAATTGGTAACACTTTCAGCAACATAGAAAAATATGTCGATTATGGTGTACGAAGTAATCCACATCGCCGATTTGTGTGGAATTCACATTTATTAAGACCAGTAGAAAAAAACTTGCATCGTGACTGGATTTTATATATTACACATGGCTTTATTGGTCAATCAAATGTTAGTATTTTTGGAAGATCTATGTATGTAACTATTATAGCTAGAAGAAGTAACAAGTATGCAGGTACCAGATTTTTGAAACGTGGAGCAAATTTTGATGTATGTGCAATTAAATTATTTTTGTTACCCTTTATTATAATTGTATATTATTACAATACAATTTTGTTGTTTAAGGGAGATGTTGCAAATGAAGTAGAAACAGAACAAATTGTACATGATTCTGGAGTGAGTTCTTTAAGTAAGGGTCGTTTTAGTTCTTTTGTTCAAATGCGTGGGTCAGTTCCTGGACACTGGAGTCAAGATGTTAGTAAAATGGTTCCTAAACCTACAATCACTTGTGATTTGGCTGATCCTTATGTAGAAACAGCAGGTATAGAAGTTAGAATCTACTGTTACATCTATCATATAATTAACATTTTACCATTAAAAAAAACTTAGGTGCACATTTTAATCAACTTCTAAGAAGATATGGTTCCCCAGTTATAATTCTCAATCTTGTTAAGAAACGTGAAAAAAAGAAACATGAAAGTACATTAAGTGAAGAATTATGCATGGCTGTTAAATATTTAAATCAATTTTTATCTCCAGAACATCATATTCAGTATATAAGTTTTGATATGGCACGAATGAACAAAAGGTACAATTATAATTATTTTATGTTGCAATGGTAAAAGTGTCAAATGAAAACATTAGTTATAATAATGTAATTCTTTTCAGGAAAACGTCTAATGTTATGGCACGTTTGGCGAATATAGCACATAATGCAGTTTTGAAAACTGGTATTTTTCAATCACAAAATCCATATTACAGTCAAAGGAACTTATTTTCTCCACAAGCCAATAATATTAAAAAATTTCACAAAATGAATTCAAATACAAATTGTTCAGTTAATGCATATAGTGTACAAAATTATACAAATTTTACAACTATAGATGGTAATAATTTATTTGTCACCTGTAATACTGATTCTAAAATTATCAAAGAAAATAAGCATGATGAATTAAATTACATAGAAATTAAAGTAAGACAATGTTTCAATAAAATGTGTACATTGCAAACTGGTATTATTAGAACAAATTGCGTTGATTGTCTGGACCGTACAAATACAGCGCAATTTGCGATAGGAAAATGTGCTTTGGGATTTCAATTATGTGCTTTAGGGGTATTAGAATCGCCTAAATTGGAATTTGATTCGGATTGTGTAAGAATGTTAGAAGAATTATATGAGGATCATGGTGATACATTAGCATTACAATATGGTGGTTCTCAATTGGTGCATAGAATAAAAACTTATAGGTAAGATAATATAATGTTGGATATAATTTCATTTATTAGTGTTCTTTTCTTATGATTTAGAAAAACTGCACCATGGACTAGCCAGGGTAACGATATTATGCAAACTCTCAGTAGATATTATAGTAACACTTTTAGTGATCAAGAAAAGCAACATACAATTAATTTATTCTTGGGTAAATACATATATAATTAAATCGCATCAAACGGGCCAAAGTTACAAATAAAATGTATATTTAAATATCTTTCATAAGGTTTATTTATACCTGAAGAGGGAAAACCCCCAATTTGGGAGCTTCTAACAGATTATTACCTTCATCATAAACCTGCTTGTCGTTATACTCGCAGAACAAAGCTTTTAACGCAGTGGTGGGATACTGCCGTATTAAAGTGTCTTCCATATGCCTTACATGAAATAACAAAAACATGTTCAGAAATAATACAAGTTCAGAACTCAATGGAAGAGATGATTGATGTTTATTACGATTACCATAGGTATCGAAACATCTTATGATGTAAATATAACTATGTTGTTGTTTCTTATATTCTAAATTACTTCTTACAGACCGTCCGAACTGTCCTTACTTTCTGAAGTTTACGCATATAAAATTAGTCATTCTGTTAGAGATTTTATGCCGCATTTTACAACCAGTTATAGTCCATTTGCAGTACGAGTACGACCAGGTAGAAGAAGGGAAGAGACTGGTAATAAAAATCTAAATATGAAGAATCCTTCAATGACTGGACAAAGTAGTACCAGTAGTACAACATCAAGTGCAAGGTAATATAAATCGAATTATTTTATGCGATTACTTAAATGTTAATTTTATATATTATATCTTGTAGTTCTAGTGATGATTCAAGTTCAGATGAAGATGAAAATCATCAACATATTAATGATTCTCAATTTATAAATTTGAAAGAAAGTTCAGAATTTACATCTTTTGAATCATTATTTCCATCCATGAAAGAAGTGTATGGTGTTCAACCAAAATATCCAGAAAGAAATGATGTCATATTGTATAAAAGGTAAAAATAGTTTTCTTTCACAGTTGTAGAATATTGTTTTAATATAAAATATTCTTAACAGATTTGCTTTGATTGGACGCACTGCAATACATCCCACAGATTATATGAAACTGCGTTTGAAATTAACTCAACAAGTATCATTTCCTGAGGTAGCAACTACCGTGATTCAACTACCCACAGTAAAGGAGTCTAGTATAAGTATATACGAGCAATATGTTAAAAGAGCTGTGGTGAGTATATATTGTTTACAATTTTTAAACATTTCTGTTATATTAAAATTATATGTATTATATAGGTAGGTGGTTCCATGCCAAGTTCTAATGATATTGATTTGTATGAAAGTTATACAGCACACAGTAAAGGAGTTTAATATAAGTATATATGAGCAATATGTTAAAAGAGCTGTGGTGAGTATATATTGTTTACAATTTTTAAACATTCCTGTCATATTAAAATTGTGTATTATGTAGGTAGGTGGTTCCATGCCAAGTCATGATATTGATTTGTATAAAAGTTACACAGCACAATAGTTGTTGAGAAGATAAATATATCCAAACTCAGTCCATCATGTAAAAAAATCTGTTTTGTGTTTTTGTAAATATTCATGTACATAATAAAATACACAAAAAATTTAATTACTCATGTATCTTTTATTAAAATCATTTTTAAGGGATACATAAATTGGTAAATTGAGAGAATAGAAGTAAAAGTTAAGCATATAGTTTACTTTAGCTTCTTTTTTGGTCGGATGTTGTTTGTATGGCCACATTTCTTTTTACGACAATTAGTTGCACGCGGATGAAGGCGAGCATAACATTTTCTACAAATCATTTTTTCACAGTTGTATTTCTGTGCAAGAATACGCAAGGTGGGCTCAATGACACCACCACGAAGACGAAGAACAAGATGCAAAGTAGATTCTGGACAAAGTATAAAACGTTATTATTATAGGTTAGGAAGTGTATAAAATGTTTAAAATAAAATATTTTTTTAAAAAAGTTACACCATACCTTTTTGAATATTGTAATCTGACAGGGTACGTCCATCTTCTAATTGCTTTCCAGCAAAAATGAGACGTTGTTGATCTGGTGGAATGCCTTCTTTATCTTGGATTTTAGCTTTCACATTTTCAATAGTATCTGATGATTCTACTTCAAGGGTGATGGTTTTACCCGTCAAAGTTTTCACAAATATCTGCATCGTGGTGTGCCTTAGATCATAAAAATATATCGGACATTGAAAGAAAAAATACAATGTAAAATAGAAGCATTACAAAATATGTACTCAGCAGTATCGTTCCGTTTGACAATTAATTTTTTAAGTTTCAAATTTGTTTGTTTCCTACAATTTTTTAATGTTAAGTTTAATAAAATATGTAAAAGTGACTAGAAAATTTCACAATAGACATTTCGTTTATGAACTTGTGTTCTAGCAACGTATCGTACTGCAATTGTTTTTGAAATCCTTTTGTTTAATTGTTTGATTATGTAATATTGTACCAACAAATACTGATTATTTAATTTAAATTCAATTTATGTTTATGGAAACACTTTGAATGACAAAAATTTTTAAAAATATTGAATTCTTACCTCGAAGAAAGCGTGCTTGCCACGAAAACAACCTAAAAAGACTTTATGATGGCAGCACTGTGACTTCCGTTTGTCCAAACGTCAATTATACTAGCCCTCTCGTGGTGAATAATTCTACTATTTCAAACAAAAATGTACGTATTAGAATTTATTCACTGTATTTTGTACAAAATGTATATTTATTTTAAATCTATACTATTAATGTAAATTTGAATCAATTATCATAAGTATATATAAAAATTCATCTTGTATATATTAACAAAAGCGAGAAATTTTGACACAGTTGTACTTGTAGAGGAAACAGTGGTAATCGATCATTCATTATCTCGTGACTTTTTTAATATTATCGTTCGATTAATTTCTTTTATTTGTTAAAATATATTCGTTGAATTATATTTGTGCATTATTTGATTGTACATTTATATTTTGTGTTTGATAAAGATAGATACATATACGCATTTAGGTTGTATTACATAGAAATAAATGATATGCACAAGCATGTTGTATCTTATATATATACTGTTTTCTCCAAATGACGAACGTTTTATTATTCCTTAGGCCACGTCTATATGCAAATTTCAGTAGTAACCCTTAAACTTTATACTCTGACCTAGATGTCCACTTACCTAACAGCTCTGCAATTACATGTGTTTTACAGCATCGTGTGGTGTAGACACATGTCTAATGCATGGATCTAATGTACCGAAAACTAGAAGTTAACCACAGTTTTACATATTAATAAATGAAGATATCTTACTTATTTATTAATTTTTCATCGAATTTCGTAGGTACGTTTGACATTTTCCATGGATATACACTCCCAAAATGCGTTCCCTAATCTCGAATGAATTTTGTGGTACTTTGAAGTGGTATGAGAAGCTTTATAATACTCTGCCGCTTTGAATGCTTTTACATTCATCGAACGAGAATCTTTTTATACCACAAATGTCGTGAGGCGACACGTTACATGTAAAAAGGTAGATAAGGAGAAATATGAAAGAAAACGGAGAAAATGCGTAAAACGTACCATAAATCTCGTGAGTGTGGTAGATAGGTTCTGAATTCGTTGATGCAACATGATTCGTATTAACCTATGCGTATACACACATTTGGTAAACTTTATTTACATTTAACGCCTTAATAAGCAACATTTATTGACTTAAAATGCAGTACTTCATACAAACTGAAAAGCATATCTAACTTTTAATCGGCAATATAGTTTTAAACATTCGATGTAGTTCCCTATGATACGACATGCACGCCTGACAGGTGAAATCGGGTAAACAACAAGTAATCCGTCGAGATTGCTTCATCGAGTGGCTTCGGTTTTTGTATAACGTTATGGAGTAGTTGTAAATCTCCATCGAAGTTTGTTATCGAAGTTTCCTCATTATAAATCCGCTGGCCGTTTTCTATACACCAGCGAACACATCTCAATTCGTTGCATTGATCAACTGTGTTGTAGGAAGTTGTTTCGAGTTGTTGAACTCTAATAAAGTTAACCAGAGTCTCAAGGCTATTGTGGAAATTGAACGATAACTGGATTTGGGTTTAGATGGACTGGCTACAGTCGGGAATGCGAATTAGTACGTTTCAACAATATATATCAGAACAGAGTAAATGTTAATACAAATGTATAATAGCGAACTTCGCGATACTTCATTGCACAGGTAGTGAAATTACTGCGATTGATTAATCGTCCGATCAGCGTCATTTATCGATTTTGAATGAATGCAAGCAGGTGGAAAATTAACTTATAATATTATCTACTTCCGTTTCGATCGTTTGTAAACGAATAATACTAGAAGGCAATTGATCCATTTCCGCAATTGTTCAATGAATATTAAACTTTGATAATATCGCTGATGAGAGAATATGATGGAAAGTTCTTTGTCTATTGTTCATATTTACAATTATATCGCAAAGATGATACCATTGTGCAAGTTTCTCGAATAAATGTATGTATTAACTAATAACGGAGATTAAAGAAAGAAATATACCTCTGTTTCCAAACGCGATTACCTTAACCCTTTGCACTCGAGAGGTGAACTTCAGTCACCATTTCATCAAATTTGGAAGATCGATATTAATTAATATATCAAATTTAATGCAATTTAACGGTGTACGAGGTATCGAAATGAAATAATTCTACAATTCTGTTATTATACAATTCTTTGTTTACTGCTTAAAAAGATATCGTCAGTTTCTTAGTAGAGAATTTTTGAATTTCTACTCTTCTCTAGCCAAAAAATCGACGAGTGCAAAGGGTTAAACGTAAGAATGTACGATGGATCATTTTCTAGCGAAGCCACTGGAAAGTAGACAGAATAACATCAATTTCGAAACACTATAAATCTATACGAATGACGATATGGTCAAAACGTATTTGTGTCTCTAACACTCACGATTGGCCTTTATTTACGGAACTATCGGTCGATACTACTTTACTCTAGTATTTACCTTCCCCTCCGAAGAACAGTGGATGTCGAACGCAAACTGCACCGGCACCCAATGTCGTCATTTCTAAACGCAGTTGTGACTGCAATTGCTGCTATGACACTCGACCGCTTGTCCATTAGTGGATATCTGTATTCCATGTTCGGACGCAATTTCCATTTACATACGTTGCACGCCCTACTCTTATCCTTAAACGTTTGAATTAAACGTTCCGGATCATGTACTGTATCAGGAAATTTCGACGCGGAGGGCCGATTATGCATGATACATTGATTTTACGTATTGAAAATTTCTTTCCAACCAGCTGGTTCGTTATTGAATTCCTCGTGGCAGGATCTTGTATTCGTTGGAATAGTTAATAACGACGATATAGATTCTGTTCGGGTATTACCCGCGGCAAACAAGCCTGCTCATGTCGAGGTTCGCCGCAGTTCCTGCAGGAAGAAAAAGGTTTGTTCTTTTTCGTAATAATTTCTGGACCGGTACCTTGTCTTCTTCTCTTCTTCCATATATTCTTTAATATTTCTGACTGAGTCTTCGCTACCAACGCTCCGGTTTAGAGGGTTTCTGCTCAGTGGCAGGTGTACTTTGTTCCCCGACGTTCTCAATCACATCGTATCAAATCAATGCGATCGGTGTCTTTGCTCTAGATACATGGGCTGATGAATTTACCAGTGAGCAAACTAATAATGGAAAAGCCCGTCCGAGTAAGTAAGATCATTAAACTGCAGGAGCCACGATATACAGGCTAAAATTGATGTCTAACTCTAGGGTGAACTCGTTCAACTACCGTTAACCTTTCATGACACTTTGACCTCGACTCATACACGCTTTTACCGAAGAACGCGCGAACCTGGTTTCTGGATCGAAAGTCGAATTATCGATTACCGTGGACGCGGAGCCTAACGTTTCTCCGCAACCTTTTGTACCCTTTTACCCTTTATTCCTTTTGGTCTTCTACTTGGCCTCTTCTTACGCCGCTATTCCACCAGCAGACTCCACTTTTCGTTCAGGGAAAATCGGCGAAGTGCAATTAAAAGTTGTTACGAACGTGGCCCGAAACGAGGTTTAATCGTGGTTGTGCTTCTTAGCCGTAATTAGAGTTCATTGATGAATGAACGGGTCTACCCTCTTTTATCTCGAGCCTTAATCTCGCAAGTTTTCCGTGTAATTTATTATCCTATGCTTATTCGACGCTCAAATTTTATAAATTATTCTTTACCACCGCTTCGAGTTATTTATCTCTTCCCTTCTTTCAAGAAGAAACTGCATACGCGTAAGTACTCGTATAATATACGATGTTATTTTCCATGCCTGCTCATTGAACAGCGTTCGCACAGGTATCCTCGAGATAACAAAAATTTTCGTATCGTAAAATTTGTAAATAAACTTGTTCGATAAGAAACTGACGAACTTTCAGAATTTTATCGACGGTTCCGTAAAATTTATATTTGCTTGCTTACAGACCAAAATGTAATTCTTCCCTGCTGGTAATAACTTTAGCGTTCTCGTACATCGACAACCACGATAAAAGGACCACGAAATGAGTATGAAATGCCATTGCGATCCGAGATAAAACTTTTCCATCAAAACTCCCTGTTTCCCCTCGCTCCTCTCGTCTAGCTTTCCGTTCTTCGTATTTTGCTCGTTCGACCGATTCCGCGACCCGTCGATTTTCACCGGTCTAAATCGGTATCCGATGTTTCTCTTTTTTCCCCCTTTTCCTCTATTTTTTTTTATTTTATTTTTCCCCGGTAACAACCTGCGCTACCCGAGATACCCCTTTGCCTTTTTTCTCTTATTATATTAACACGATATACCGGTCATAGAGCTATCGGTGCGATGGAGGTCCCCTCGTAACCGGTGCGCATTCGCGTGCGGGAACGAAGTGCGATGCAACGAATGGCGGATTTTTTCTCCGCATAGGTGGAAGACATTAGGAGCTGGGGTGAGGGGGATTGATGGTGCGCGTCATACATACCTGCGCGGAGGACATCGAGAAGCAAGGGGAGCGTATAGTTTCGAATGCGGTAGGTGCAACCGTACAGGTAGGACACGCAATGCAGTTTCGTGGAAATTAGGTCAGCGAGTTTTCGGGTTAGACAGAGACAGCGGGAAGGGAAGAGCAGACGAGGGACGAAAGCGGAAAGAAAGACAGAACGGGGAAGAGAGAAAGTGAGGGATGCAGAGGAAGAGGGAGAAACTAGTTGTGCAGGAGAGATTGGAGGGAGAGAGAGAGAGGTTGAAGCGAAAAAGAGATGGTCGGAGAGGGTGAGAGAGAGGGAAACGAACGCGTAACTAGGGGGTTGTTGGACCGAGGTTAGAGGTTGTCATCATCGTGGGGAGTAGGGTTGCCACGAAATATCGTGGATTAGACCGCACCGAGAGAAGGACATCGTGCCTCTTGGAGCCAGGAGAAGGAGAAAGGGAAAAGGGGAGAGTAAATGTATGTAAATTAAACGTCCCTCGACTTTATTTAGCGCGAGAGTTTAAAGGAGCTACCTTGCTTTTCGTTGGGACTCTCTGAATAAGAAACTTCCCCGAATAACGCGATGGATAGCGAATAGAATGAAAAGGAGATACCTATACGATCCATACTTTGCTGCTTTCTGCATCTC